TTGGATTATGTGTTCTTTTGGTGACCAATTTCTTGAGTTCTTTGTATATTTTGGAGATCAGACCTCTGTCTGATGTGGGGTTAGTGAAGATATTTTCTCATTCTGTAGGCTGCATTTTGTCTTGTTGACAGTCTCCTTTGCTTTACAGAAGCTTTTCAGTTTCAGGAGGTCCCATTTATTATTGTTTTTCTCAGTGTCTGTGCTGCTGGGGTTATATTTAGGAAGTTGTTCCCTGTGCCAATGCGTTCAAGTGTATTTCCCACTTTCTCTTCTATAAGGTTCAATGTGGTTGGCTTTATATTGAGGTCTTTGATTCATTTGTACTTGAGTTTTGTGCATGGTGATAGATATGGGTCTATTTTCATTTTTCTATATGTTGATATCCAGTTATGCCAGCACCACTTGTTAAATATGCTTTTTTTCCCTTTCATAATTTTTGCTTCTTTATCAAATATCAGGTGTTTGAAGATGTGTGGGTTGATATCTGGGTCTTCTGTTCGGTTCCATTGGTCCTCCTGTCTGTTCTTTTTTTTTTTGTAAAGATTTATTTATTTAAGTATACAGTGGTCTGCCTGCATGTATGCCTACAGGCCAGAAGAGGGCACCAGATCTCATTACAGATGGTTGTGAACCACCATGTGGTTGCTGGGAATTGAACTCAGGACCTTTGGAAGAGCAAGCAGTGCTCTTAACCACTAAGCTATATCTCCAGCCACCCTCCTGTCTGTTCTTATGCCAGTACCAGGCTGTTTTCATTACTGTAGCTCTGGAGTAGAGTTTGAAGTCAGGGATTATGATACCTCCAGAAGTTCTTTTATTGAACAAGATTGTTTTGGCTATCCTGGGTTTTTTGCTTTTCCGTAGGTGTTTTTTTTTTTTTATTCTTGTGGGTATTTAAAAAAAATTTTTTTTGTTTTGTTTTGTTTTTTTTTCCGAGACAGGGTTTCTCTGTGGCTTTGGAGCCTGTCCTGGAACTTGCTCTGTAGACCAGGCTGGTCTCGAACTCACAGAGATCCGCCTGCCTCTGCCTCCCGAGTGCTGGGATTAAAGGCGTGCGCCACCATCGCCCGGCTGTGAGTACTTTAATTTGACAGCAGTGTCTCTGACCTAGGTGCCAGGTGGTTGTAAACATTTGTTTAGTAAGGTTGTACATTTGTTCAGCCTTCGGAATATTTATTACCTTCTTGACATAAGTGTGCACTTTGTTTTGCTTTAGAGTACTATGTTGTGATATGCATGCTCAGTGAGATGTTAAGTGTAGTTGTAATTGCTATGGGTATAGTAATAGGATAGAATGTACCTTATGAAATTCACAGAATAGTGGGGAAACAGGAACATATAGGAGGGCAGGCACATACTATACCCTTGGGACCACTAAAGCTTACTAATTAGATAGTTCCTTCTTGATCATAGTATCCCTCCTTTTAGGTGAATATTGGATTAGTCTCTCTTTCTTTCTTTCTTTCTTTCTTTCTTTCTTTCTTTCTTTCTTTCTTTCTTTCTTTCTTTCTTTCTTTCTTTCTGATTTATTTATTGTGTATACACATACCAGAAGAGGGCATCAGATCTCATTCTAGATGGTTGTGAGCCACTATGTGGTTGTTGGGAATTGAACTCAGGTCCTCTAGAAGAGCAGCCAGTGCTCTTAACTTCTGAGCCGTCTCTCCAGCCTGGATTAGTCAGTTTCTTAATGGAAGCTTGAAAGTAGATGTTTCAATTCAAGAAAAAAGTGAAAGACTGTTGACTGTGGTGGAAGGCAGAGGCCAATAGATATCTTGAGTTCAAGGCCGACTTGGTCAACATAGCAAGTTCCAAGACAGCCAGGGCTGTAATCTCAAAATGAGTGAGGGGGTAGGGGAGGGGAAACAGATCTTTTTTTTTGTTTGTTGTTTTTTTTTTTTTTTTTTTTTTTTTGGTTTTTCGAGACAGGGTTTCTCTCTGGTTTGGGAGCCTGTCTTGGAACTAGCTCTTGTAGACCAGGCTAGTCTCACAGAGATCAGCCTGCCTCTGCCTCCCAAGTGCTGGGATTAAAGGCATGCACCACCACCGCCTGGCTGGGAAACAGATCTTGTATGTAGTCCTGCAGGTTTGGCAGCTTGCTCTCAGAGTAGTCACAGTGGAGTGTGAAAGAATAACATCTTACCAGTCAAGTCAAATGAAGCTATCAGGCAAGCAGGGTAGTTTGGTAGTGTATATGTTTGTCATTTGATACTTTATTTATCTTTATTTTATGTACATTGGTATGTTGCCTGCATGTATGTCTGTGTGAGAGGGAGTTGGATCCCTTAGAACAGCCGTTACATACAGGTGTGAGTTGCCATGTGGGTGCTGAAAATTGAACCTGGATCCTCTGGAAGAGCAGCCAGTGCTCTTAACGCTCTCCAGCTCCACCCCTCAACACCATGTTTGTCATTTGAAAAGCCCTAGTTTCAGTCTCCATCACCCAAGAAAAAGAAGGGATGAGGGGAAGTTGCAGTCATGAAGGCCTTGTTTTCCCACTTTTATTCAGGAGTCTAAAGTGAAATGGTGAAAGCAGAATGATTCATTCAGATTGGACTTGTGGTTTCCCTTCAGTGTCTCCCTTTATTTTTTTTATTATTATTTTTTAATTTTATCTATTTATTATGTATACAGTGCTTTGCCTACATGTATCCCTGCAGGCCAGAAGAGGGCACCAAATCTCATTACAGATGGTTGTGATCCACCATGTGGTTGCTGGGAATTGAACTCAGGACCTTTGGAAGAGCATGCAGAGCTCTTAACCACTGAGCCATCTCTCTGGCCCTATTATTTACCTTCTGTGATGCCATAGCATAGGCTGTACTCATCTCTTTAAGATGCATCTCCCTAGGAGGCGACAGCTCCCTGAATAGTCTGTTTTCATTCTTAAGTTCAAAATCCGTAGTGTCTACACCCTCATGGGATTTTTCTACTGTTTCAGGGAAGATTCCTGCAAACAGTAAACATAAAAATCACCGCAGAACAAAGGCCAAAGTGGGCCCAGTGCTTGATGTTGCCAGCCCGCCTCTGAGGTCTTGTCTCAGCGAAAGGTATGAGGAGCCTAGTGTATATTTTATAAGGACTTACAGACATGCATTTTATTTGTTTTCAAGGCCTCATCTCACACTGCAGAATTTCCAGCCTTAGCCTCCCACGAGGCTGAGGGCTCTAATGAACCATCATGCTCAGCTTCTGTTAGAATGTGTTTAAACAAAACATGCTCTTGCATGTGTTTGTCTCAGAAATAAACTGTCATCCAGATCGCTACAGCTGAGTACCTCCTGGATGAACTTCTGTTTTTAAATAATGTGTAATAAATTCCTCAAGTGGTACTTTTTATGTTAGGAACGTTTACTTTGAGCCAGGCCTGGTAACCCACTCTGAAAATCCTAGCACTAAAAAACCTGAGGCAGCAGGGTCACAGTGTGAGGCTGCATATCCAACTCTTGTCTTCCCAACCATAAAAACTCAGTACAGAATGATCTCTCTGCTACTGCTGTTCTCCTTTTAACCTGAGGCCATTGTTTTGCTTTGTCTAGCCCTCTTCCTCTGCGACGCACACAAGTTGTACCACAAAGAGAAAAGCCAGGTATGAGCACTGCAAAGGTTCTTATTTTTATTGTCTTTTAAATTATCTGTTTGAGTGTTTTGCCTATGTTTATGTATGTATAACACCTGCATGCCTGGTGTCCAGAGGCCAAAAGTGAGCATTAGGTCCCCGGGAACTACAGTTATAGATGATTGCAAGCCACCTATTGTAGGTGCTTGGAACCCAGGTCCTCTGCAAGAACAGCCCCCTGGGTTTTACTTGTAGGTTGTCAAAATGTTAATAAAAATCTAATAACTTTGTGTTTTTTTTCCACTTGCAGTATTATATGGAAGTTTATTTTCTTCACCAAAAATCGAGGAGGTAAGTGTTCCTCTCAGATTACTTCCATAATATAAGTTGAGAATGTGACAGTGTCATCCCTTTAGCTCGAGAGTTGCAGATCTGCACTTAGCATTATGTGGTAATAAAGTGTGAATGAAAAACATAGTCACCAGTGTTTCTGTACATTAAACTGTTGTCTTTTTTTGTAGGGTCAGACACCCAAACCCATCTCTGAAAGTCTCGGAGTTGAGGTGGATCCTGATATGTCTTGGTCAAGTTCGTTAGCTACACCTCCAACCCTTAGTTCCACTGTGCTCATAGGTAATGGTGGCAAATGTGTACTGCACAGGATGAGGTAGCTGAGGCTGCTAAGTTGTCACTTCCAACCTTGTGTTAGAAAGAAAACATGGGGGGCTGGAGAGATGGCTCAGTGTTTATGAACATCTGCTGTCTTATAGAGGACCCTGGTTCAGTTCTCTGCACCCATGTAGTGGCTTACAACTGTCCATAATAACTCCAATTCCAAGCCAGGTGGTGGTGGCACACACCTTTAATCCCAGCCCTCTGGAGGCAGAGGCAGGTGAATCTTTGTGAGTTCGAGACCAGCCTGGTGTACAAGAGTTAGTTCCAGTACGGGCTCCAAAGCTATAGAGAAACACTGTCTCAAAAAACCAAAACAAACAAACAAAAGGTTAAAAAGTAAGTAAACGTGAAAGCTGACTCAGATATTACTGTGTGCTGAATATGTTAGTAGTTCTGAATAATTTTCTTCTCTGTCTAAAATGCTATCAGAGAGTCACATTTTAGCACCATGTCATCTGTGTATTATAACTTCATGTACACATTTACTTTTTTTTTTACACATTTACTTTTATGCACATTTACCTTCTGAGTCATCTTGCCAGCCCTCAACCAGGGCTTGGATGATTCTAGCCAAATAGCATTTCATTTTGGTCCGTTTAGCCGGAAGTGGTTGGACTTTATTTTATTGCTTATGTGAAATAATAAAGTAAAAAAGCTGAAAGCTAAGAAGTAATTAGCATTAATTATGCCTTTAGAATGAATCATTGTCTAAACAGAGCATAAAGTTTCCCAGGGAAGCTTTGAAGTCACAGCCTTTACATGTCTTTCATTAGCCATTGTAGAGAATATTACCATAAAGCTCATGTCACCAAACCACCATTTCTAACCACCATGCAAGTGGCATTAAGAAACAGTGTGACGGGGCTAGAGAGATGGCCCAGTGGTTAAGGGCACTGCCTGCTCTTCCAAAGGTCCTGAGTTCAATTCCCAGCAACCACATGGTGGCTCACAACCATCTGTAATGAGGTGCCCTCTTCTGGCCTGCAGACATACACACAGAATATTGTATACATAACAAATAAATAATTTTTTTTTTTTAAAAAAAAGAAAGAAACAGTGTGACAAGTCAGTCCAGGTCAGTCTTCCTCATTGCTGACTTTGGTCACTTAATTTTGTTTCAGATGTGCCTCTTATCAAATATTGTGTGTGGGTGGGGTTGTTTCCAAAAAGAAGTAAGTTTGTCTATTAATTTTGGTGTACAATATGTAATACAGAACCAGCGGTGGTGGCCCATGCCTTTAATCCCAGCACTCGGGAGCAGAGGTAGGCAGATCTCTGTGAGTTCAAGACCAGCCTGGTCTACAGAGCTAGTTCCAGGACAGGCTCCAAAGCTACAGAGAAACCCTGTCTCGAAAAACCAGAAAAAAAAAAAATACAAACAAAAAATAATACAATACAGTGAAATTTAATTTCTTTTATAGCCCGAAATGAGGAAGCACGAGGAATTGTGTATCCTGAAGACTCTCCTGCTGTAAGTCAGTGTCAGGATGGTGATACTCATGACATTCCTCATTAAGAATATCTTCACTTTGTGTGTGTGTGTGTGTTTGTGTGTGTACACAGGCTACATAGAGAAACCCTGTCTCAGACAAAAAAAAATTCTCAGATTTTACACGTATATATTTTGATTATATTCACCCTCTTTTCCTCCTCCAATTCCCCCATGATCCTCCCTAACATGACCCACTCTCAGCTTTATATACTCTTTTTCTTTAGTTTTAAAATGATCCCCTGAATCCAACTAGTGCCCCTAGATGCAAATGAGTGTGGGGACACATTGGAGGGTGAGCAGCCTACCACTTGCCATTTGCTCTACCCAAATGATTCTTTTTCCCCAGTAGCCATCAGCTACCAAAGCTCCTCAGCTCGTTTTTGCTGTTGTTTTGGTTTGGGTTTGATTTATTTTTTTGTTTTTGGCTTTTTTGAGATGGGTTTTGCTACGCAGTCCTTGCTAGCCCTAAACTGGTTGAAAATCATTCTGGCCTCAAATTTGTAATCTTCCTGCCTCTGCTTCCCACGTGCTAAGATTATATGTATGTGTCACTATGCCTGGCTGTCCTGCATTCTTTAAAACTACCATTTATAATTTTCCTAACCTTCGGGAATGTTTCTAAACCTGATCCCATATGTAATTTCTCCCTAAAAAGTTTTCTGTCTTTCTGTTTGGTAACATGAATATATATGTGCAACAAAAGGGTTATACTAGTTAATGATTTTGAAAATAATTTCAGCAGATTTTGAGAAGCTACTTTTCCAACCACAATGAAAGTCTGAAAAAGAATGATAGATCTCTTCCCTCTGTGACTGACAGTGAAAACAAAAGCCAGAGGCAAGCTTTTAGTCATGGTAAGTACTTCTATTTAGTTGGGCCACTGATCTTCATTGATATAATTGTTCTTTTCTTCAGTAGAAAGACACTGCTTTCCTTTCTCGACCTTTGACATCAGGATACAAAAGATAGAAGCTAACTTGATAGATTTGCTTCCTGCTTCCTCGTAGTAATACAGGCTTGGTTGGCTACGTCTGAGTTGACAGGTCTTAGAATACTAAGTTGGGGAGATAGCACTTTCAAAGGTGCCCCTTAACTGTGTAGACCTGATAAAAGATGTATTAGATCCTTCTCAGTCTGGGGCCTCGCTATAATTATGCCCATAATCAGCCCCTACACCAAGTATGCTTCCATGATCAACCAGGCAACACCCTACAACTACCCAGTCCCTGTACGAGATAATGGGAACATGCCCAATGTGCCCAGCACCCATAGGACCCTCAGGGCCCAAGCCTGGAGTGGCTGAAGAACTTGTGAATACTCCTGCTGATGAAAGAGGCTCCTTCTCTGTTGCCCCCCCAATAATAAAAAAAAAAAAAAGATGTATTAGAGATTGGCATCTGAGTAGAGACTTTCAGCACATTGGCACTGGCTTTTACATGAGCGACTTGCCAGAAAAAGAACTGGCATTCAGAATAACCCCTTGTTGCATATTTGTGTATTATTTAATATGAATCATGTCTGGAGAAGAATTGTGAGTTGTATTATAAATGTTATAATGTGCTTTTGTTTTGAATTGTAACAGGATTGGAGAAAATGTTAGGGGATTCATCTGGCAAAACAAACAGCTTCAAAGATTGCCTTCAAAAGACAATGCCAAGTGTTGTAGAAGATTGGGAGACAACTGCAGAAACTTCTGAAGAAGATAGTTTCTCGTTATGTTTTCCTAAGCGGAGAAGCAGAAATCTACCAAAAATGAGAATGGGCAAGAGCAGGAAGAAAATTTTCAGTGACGTCAGAACTGATGAGTTAAGTGAAGAAGCTAGTAGATGGGCTGGTGAGAAACATTCATCTGAACTGGATATTAAACCAAGCTACAGTGATCCCTTAGATCCAGATGTGACAAACCAGAAGCCCTGTAGCAGTGGAAATGAGGAAATCTGCAAGGAAGCTGTACAGTCTTCCAGCAGTGGGTGGTCTCAGCTAACCCTCTCTGGTCTGACTGGAACCCAGATGGGAAAAACACCTCTCCTGTGTATTTCTTCTAATAACCAGAATAATTCAGAAAAAGACTTCATAGATACAAAGAAAGAAGGTATTGACTCTATTGCTTTAGAAAACTCTTTACCTCATATTTCTGTTCTTCCAGAACCAGAAAAGGTGATCAGTGAGAAAACTCTGGGAAATAGGGCACACGAAGGGCAGCATCTTGACTCACACGAGGTCTTCATTGCAGGGGAGCAAGCGGTGTCTGGAACTTGTCAAGCAGCCTGCCTGTTTCAGAGTGTCGGCAAGTCTGTGTTCAGAATGAGAGAGCCACTTGAGGAGTGTCTGGGCACTGTGTTCTCAGAGAGTGAGACCAGCCTAGCCACCACAGAAGAACCTGGCGCCTCTGCCAGTGTGTTGGGAACCTGTGCTGTGTGCTCACAGACAGAAGAACCTGGCGCCACTGCCAGTGTGTTGGGAACCTGTGCTGTGTGCTCACAGACAGAGAATTCATTGTGTCCCGGTTCAGCTGACTCTGGAACCTGGCCAACAACTCTCACTCACACTTCTGCAACTGGGAAAACTGCAGGTTTAATATCCAGTCTAAAAAACAAAAGAAAAAAGTTTATTTACTCCGTAAGTGATGATGCATCTCATCAAAGAACAGAAATACTGGCAGTCAGAACGTCAGAGCTCACTAACCCTTCAGCGCAGTTTGAAGCAAGTGCTTTTGACGCACCATTTATATTTACATATGGGAATTCAGGTATTCCTGTTTTTTTTTGTTGTTTTTGTTGTTGTTGTTTTTTCTAGGGTATATATAGTTTTATGGATGAGGTTAAGTTCTCTAGTTTGAATATGCGATTTTTAAAATTTTTTGAAAAGCAACAGTTGCTTTCTTTCTGTAGTCTTTTGGGCCTCCTGTTAGTCACAGAGAGTGCTTATATACATTAGTGTTGAGACTTTGGATTCAGGGTTTAGAAGTGTGTCTTTCAAATCTGGTGGATCATTTTGCACCAAATACATATACATATATACACGTATACATACACCATTGACTTTTTTTTAGTATTATTGTGTGTATGTGTGGAGGTCAGTGGACAACTTGTCTGAGTTGTGCCTAACTTACCATGCCGGTCCTCGGGTCCTCAGGCTTCATGGCAAATGCCTACCCACTGAGCCATCATGCCATTTGTCCCCCTTTTGTGCTCTATGCTGGCTTTGAACTTGGCTTATCTCCTACCTTAGACTCCCAAGTAGTTAGGACCACAGACATGCACTGCCATGTTCTGCTTCATGGCTCCTGAGACAGCTTTCTATCCATATACATTAGGAACCTGCCCACTTAATCCTGCTTAGAAGTGTTTATTGTGTGAAATTGGAAAACTAAAATTGTTCTTTCCTTGGGAAGCTGAAGCAGGAGGATCATTTGAGCCTACAAATTCAAGGCCAGCCTGGGGAACATGAGGGAGACCTCTGTTGCTTCCACTCCACCTCTCACCCCCACAACCCAAAGTCAGTGTTAGCTCCCTAGGAGAAAATGTAAATGGCTTGGTGAATGGATTGGTGGTCCTAGAATAGTGGAGTGTTGTTTGCACTCCAGGGATCTACCTACCTCTGTGTCCCTTTCTTTTTCTTTGTCGACTTGTCCAGACAAGGTTTCTATGTGTAATAATCCTGGCTGTCTCTTTGTAGACCAGGCTGGCCTCGAATTTATGGAAATCTGCCTGCCTCTTCCTCTTGAGTGCTGGGATCAAAGATGTGTGCCACCACCACCAGGCTCTGTTCCCAACCTTATAGTGCTGGAGTTGATAGATGCACACTGCCGCACCCTGTTTTTTATGTGGGCACTTTTGGGTACCGGGAATTTCAGCTCAGGTCTGTACTTTACTAACTGAGCTATTCTCTTGGCTCCTTCATCTAGACTTTTAGTAACTTCAAAATTGTGACTACATCAGGTTCTGTTTCGAATCTGTTAATCGCTCTTTTTTTTTTTCTTCTTTTTGGTTTTTCGAGACAGGGTTTCTCTGTGGTTTTGGAGCCTGTCCTGGAACTAGCTCTTGTAGACCAGGCTGGGCTCGAACTCACAGAGATCTGCCTGCCTCTGCCTCCTGAGTGCTGGGATTAAAGGTGTGCACCACCACCGCCCAGCTGTTAATCGCTCTTGCTCTTCTTGTTAACGTGATAAAAGCATTGAGTGGATGCAATTAGTAGTAATTTATTTAACCTATTCTGTCACTCTGTATCCTTATGTTTAGGTTTATCAGATTCTTCTGTCATAAGAAGCTCCTTACAGAATGATCCTGAAGAGCCATCTTTGTCCTTGGCCAACTCTTTTGTGACTGCTTCCAATAAAGAAAGTAGTCACACTAATGCATTGATATCTCAAGATCTAAATGACAAAGAAGCAATAGTCAGTGAAGAAAAACCAGGGCCACATACAGCACTAGAACCTGATTGTCTGTTGTGCTTGCCCGAAAAACAATGTGAAAATGAAGATCAGAAGAGCCCCAAAGTTTCAAATGGAAAAGAAAGAGTCTTAGTCTCAGCCTGTTGTCCTGCAGGACAGCATGCACAGCATGCGGCAGCAGTGCAGCCTGGCAGCACTAGCTTCGAATTACAGGAAGACCCCATCAGTGGCCATAAGAGCACCAGTATTCTTAAAGTAACTCCCAGCTCGACGATGCCTCTGTCAAAGCCAGTTGTGGTTTCCAGAGGAAAAGTGTGTAAAATGCCAGAGAAACTGCAGTGTGAGTGTTGTAAAGATAATACTGAATTAAGCAAAAACATTCCCTTGGAGAAAAATAAAATATGCGTCCTAAGTGAAAGTTCTAAAACCTCTGAGTTTCTGCCACCTGGCAAATATGTGACCGAAGCGTCCCCCACAGGGAAGTCTCAGTTCCGTAAGAACACAAACCTAGCGGTCATAAAAACGGACCAAGAAAAAAACGCTTTTATCTCAGAAATATCAGTCAATATGAGTTCTGAAGAACTTTTCCCAGAAAATGAGAATAATATTGCCTTTCAAGTAACTCATGAAAGTAATAAGATTGTTTTAGGAAGTACTGTGGAACTGCAGGAAGAAGACCTCAGCCATGCAAACGGGCCTGATCTCCAGACCTCTCCTACAGCAACAGCAGTAGATGAAGACATAGGTGATGAGCAAGCAGCCCATGCGTTGATAACAAAAGACTCAGATTCCTCGGCATGTACAAAGAAGAGTAGAAGTGCCATAGAGCAGCATCTGAAAGGAACTGCAGACAAAGATTTAAAATTGAATTCCTCCCTGGATGTGAGGTCAGATGGGAACAATGACTATACAGACAAATGTTCATGGTTTTTGGATCCAGTCTTTAGCCATAATTTTGGAGGTAGCTTCAGAACAGCTTCCAATAAAGAAATAAAACTTTCAGAACATAATGTCAAGAAAAGCAAGATATTCTTCAAAGATATTGAAGATCAGTATCCTACTAGTTTAGCTTGTATCAACATTGTTAATGCCTTACCATTAGCAAACCAGAAGAGACTAAGTGAACCTTATACATTTGATTTGCAGTCAGTTACTACCGTGTCTGCCCCTTCTCAGGGTCGGGCATCTGTTTCTTGTGAAGATACTCACACATTACCTCAGGTGTTATCTTCAAAGCAAGATTTTCATTCGAACCACAGTTTAACACCCAGCCAAAAGGCAGAAATTACAGAGCTTTCTACTATCTTGGAAGAATCAGGAAGTCAGTTTGAATTCACACAGTTCAGAAAGCCAAGCCGTGTAGCACAGAATAATGTCCCTGATGTGCCTGGAAACCTGATGGTTGCCATAGGTACCACTTCTGAGGAGCGGAAAGATGTTGATCCTCATCTCACAATGGATTCCTCCTCTGTTGGTCACACAGATCACAGCAAGAAATTTGAAGGTTCTGTTGGTGTTAAACAAAGCTCTTCTTGCCTGTTGAAAGGCAGTTGTAATGAAAGTACATCTTGTTTTTTAACAAATATAAATGAAATGAAGTTTGAAGGATTTCGTTCAGCTCTTGGCACAAAGCTTAGTGTGTCCAGTGAGGCTCTACAAAAAGCTGTGAAACTGTTCAGTGACATTGAAAATATCAGTGAGGAAACTTCTGCAAAAATAGACCCAAGAGCTTTCTCTTCAAGTGCTGATCATGATTCTGTTGCTTCGGTGTTTAAGATAAAGAAACAAAACAGTGATAAAAGTTTTGATGAGAAAACTAGTAAGTGCCAAGTAACATTACAAAATAATGCTGAAATGACTACTGGTGGTTTTGTTGGCAAAAATCCTGAAAATTGTACAAAAAATACAAAATATGAAGATAATTATACTGGTTCTCAAAGAAGTACTTATAAGTTAGGAAACTCTGAGAGTAGTAAACCAAGTACAGGGGTCACAGCTGATATTCCGAAGGATGGCGGTGATTTACCATGTGCTGCTGATCAAAGCAATAAGTATCCTGAGTCATGTACCCAGTATGTAAGGGAGGAAAGCACACAAATTAAAGAGTGTATATCAGATTTAACATGTTTGGAAGTCATGAAAGCTGAGGAAACATGCTGTATTCAATCTTCAGATAAAGAACAATTACCTTCTGGTAAGATGGAGCAAAATATAAAAGATTTTAATATATCCTTTCAGACTGCAAGTGGGAAAAATATCAGAGTCTCTGAAGAGTCATTAAGTAAAAGTGCAGATATTTTAAATCAAGAGACAGATGAATTGATCGTCTTTTCAGATCCTTTGAGTTCTAAATTTCATTGTGTCATAAATAAGAACAAAATGGATATTTCATGTCACAAGGAAACTACCAGTATTAAGAAGGTATTCAAAGAACATTTCCCACTTGGGACTGTCGGTCAGTTACCAACTCTTCAGCAGCATCATGAATATGAAATAGAAAGTACCAAAGAACCTACTCTATTAAGTTTTCATACAGCTAGCGGGAAAAAAGTCAAAATTACACAGGACTCTTTGGACAAAGTAAAGGACCTTTTTGATGAGACACAATATGTTAGGAAAACCACCAGTTTTAGTCATCAAGGGTCAAAACCCTTGAAGGACAGAGAGAACTTCAAAGAAGGGCTTACATTAGCTTGTGAAACAATTGTTGAAATCCCTGCCTCAAAGAGTGAAGAGCTGCAGGAGAACAGCTTTGGCTCTAAAGAGACTGGAGTGCCACCCAAGCAAAGTGATGATTTGTATAGGCAGACTGAAAATCTCAGAACATCAAATAGTACCTCTTCTAATGAAATAGAAAAAAGTCTTACAACCTCCTTCATTAGGCAGTTGTCTTCCTCAGTCACTGAAGATCGTGCTTTGGCATGTGACACAGAACACGGCAGGAAAATTTGTGTCACTGAGTTTTCTCTACCCAAAGGCAGAAAACAGCTTAGAGAAGGACTGGGGGATAAATCTGAAAGAAAAAATGCTGCAGAAATTGACTGTGTAAAGGAACACACTGAAGGCTCTGCTGGAAATGCCTCAGATGAGCATAGTTCAGACCGCATTAGAAACGAAGTTGGTACAAACTGTGTGTCTGAAAATCAAGCTTCAGCCCGCTTTAGTGACCCTGGCGTGTCTCGCAGCTGTCCATCCCAGTCTAGTTTTTATCACTCCAATAACATGCATAATGATTCAGGGTATTTCTCAAAAAATAAAATTGATTCTGATACTCAGCCAGACATGAAGAATGCTGAAGACAGTGCCCTTTTCTCCAATGTGTCTGCTACAGAAGAAGTAAGTACATACCCACAAACTGCAAAGGAAAATACTTGTGTTCAGAAACTTGAGACTAACTCTTCACCCTGTGCAAAAAGAAGCGTAGCCATTGAGATGGCTACAGGAGATTCAAGAAATTTTCAGGTAAGCTCACCTATGGTCATTACATCTTATTCACAAGAAACTGTAAAAACAGTGAAAGAGATTTTCACAGACAACCATAAGACAATTAAACAAAACACAAAGAGTAAACCAGATACTTGCCACACAAGCTGTCATGAAGTATTGGATAATTCACTGGATTTTATACGTCCTAGCTCTTTAGATGACAACTATATAAACTCACATAAGACCTTTGTTTATACCCAGAAAGAACAAATTTTACAGCATAATAACCAAAGTGTGTCTGGACTGGAGAAAGCCCAAATGCAACCTGTTAATTTGGGAACTTGGGACACATGTAAATCTGTAAGGGAACTTCCCCAGGCAGCCTGTCCTTCACGCACTTACGGCATTTTTAGCACAGCAAGTGGAAAAGCTGTGCAGGTATCAGACGCTTCATTAGAAAAGGCAAGGCGAGTGTTTTCTGAGATGGATGGTGGTGCTAAACCTTCCACGGTGCCTCTGGAAAGTAATGAACAGTCTGATCACTCTGTGAGAAGCAAGAGCTCTGTGGTGAAGAATCCCGAGGGTATGTCGTCACTCCCCAAAACCTTCACGAGCAATGTCAGTTCACCGGTGTTCTCTGGATTTAGTACAGCAGGTGGAAAACGGGTCACAGTCTCAGAAAGCGCCTTACACAAGGTTAAAGGAATGTTAGAGGAATTTGATTTGATCAGAACTGAACATACTCTCCAACATCCACCTACATCTGAAGATGTATCAAAACTACCTCCTCAGTCTTGTGTTGAAAAGAGAACCCCAGAATATCCTGTAAACTCGAAACTGCAGAAAACCTGTGATGGTAAATTCAGTTTACCAAATAACTATAGAGAAAGTGGTTCTTTGGGTGACACTCACGCTATTGAAGTTTTTCCCCAACTCCCTCCGCTTAAGGAAGACACACAGTTGGTATTAGGAACCAAAGTGTCCCTTAAGAAGGCTTATCTTCTGGAAAAGGAACAACCCTTACCTCAAACCATAGAAGCAGAAACTGATAAAATGGGAGCTTCTGATGTTCCTGTGAGAACAAATGTAGGAGACGGTTGTACCTCCACTAAAGAGCCGGAGAACTATTTTGAAACAGAAGCAGTGGAGATTGCCAAAGCTTTTATGGAAGATGATGAGCTGACGGATTCTGAACCAAGTCATGTCAAACACTCACTGTCTACCCACCCCCAAAACGAGGCTTTGTTCAATTCGAAAACTAGGAAAAGAAGAGTGGCTGTTGATGCAATTGGTAAGGATTTACTTTTACTGTGGTTTACTGGCCTCTGCCTCAAAAGAGTTCCATCTTCAGTAGTCTCACAGGTTAGAGGGTTAAAGACTGTTTATTTTCTGTAGAGTTTGGAGGACAGTAATTTTGCCCTTGATATCTATAAGTCTACCAATAGGTCATATTTTAAGGCTCTTTTAGTATATTTTTAGAGGTTGCTAATAGTTGCAGTTGAGAAATTATGCTAGGTGTACTGTTAACATTTCCCATGTGTGTGCAGAGATCCAGTTCTCGCCGTTGGAAACTGGCTTCTAGAATAGCCCAGTGACTTACTGAGGGAGTTCGTGGACTACTTAGTTACAGCACTCTTCATGTTACCTCATTTCTCTGAGCCTGTTTCCGTATCCATAAAATGTAGTTACTACCTCTCACAAGAACTGTAAAGATAAAATCGAGCTCACTACTGCCAGGCTTAATATTTGATAGCTGTAATCCCAGCATTTAGGAACCTAAGCAGGAGGATTGCCTTAAGTTCAAGGTCAGCCTGGGTTAAATAGGATAACTCTACCTCAAAAACATCCATCAATTAATTGATTAAATTTTTTAATTAAATCACAAAACTTAAAATAAGTTATTAAATTGACCTTGACACATTACTTATCTATGCAGAGAACTTAGTGTTTGCTTGCTTCCCTCACAAATATTTTAAATGCAGTGGTATTAATAAATAATGCCATATTCTTTTTCAGAATTCTTTATGTATATGGGTGCTTTTCTTGCATGTATATCTGCACTATGTACATGCCTGGTGCCCACCAAAAGAGTGCATTGGATCCCGTAGAACTGGTGTTACAAAAAGTACCAATGCCATGTGGGTGCTGGGAACTGAACCTGGTTCCTCTGGGAGAGCAGCCAATGCTCTTAATTCCTGAGCCTTCTCTGGCCCTGTGTCCTACTCTTAATGCCATTAGACAATATTCTAATTTCTCTTTTAAGTGTATATTTAATGTCTTAATGAACCTATTAGGTTAATTCGAAATGTCTCAGGCTAGAAAGAATCTTTCAAGTATTGAATCAGCTGACACTACATTCATAATAGATGTCAAAACTAACATTCCATCGCTTAAGTGGGTGATTTAAGCAAGCTTGTGGACTCAGAGTGTCAGAGTTACCATATATCTTCTGATCGAGTCCTGTCATATTACAGAGGGAAGCCTGGAAGTCAGTTCGTGACAAGCCACCCTGCCAGAAATAGGTTTACTTCACCAAGCATCCTACAAATGCCCTTTATAATACTTAAACAGTGGTGTTTTGTTTTGTTTCATTGGTTAACATGTTTTAGTTTTGAAAGTGAAATTTAAGCTTTTGAAAGATACAAACATGTATGGAATTTTCTTTCTAGGACAACCGCCAATCAAAAGAAGCTTATTAAATGAATTTGACAGGATAATAGAAAATAAAGGGAAATCCTTAAAGCCTTTAAAAAGTGCTCCAGATGGTAAATTTGTTTTTATTCATTTCTTTCCTCATCAAGTACTCTGCCTGATGTTCTTAAACTTCTCTCTCAGTTCTTGTGTCTACAGAGTGGTTTGATGTTACACATTTGCCTTATTTGTTACGTGGATGTTTCATCTGTGACGCCTAGTGGGGTACTGAGAAAGCTCTAGTTGCAAAGGGTAGGATGCTTATGAGATAGTGACTGTAAACTTAATGAAACTGGTGACTTACAGCACCTCACCAAAGTTGGTCTTTTTGAGTTATGTGATCTCAGCTACCAAATGAGATGGGCATTTTTTAGTTCTGATTTGACTCCATCTTTCAACTCACAGCATATAGTTGATTCCTTTCTTCTTCATCCCCTACAGTCTTCTTACTTTCCTATTTTTTTTTCTTTTTTCCCAACAAAAACATTTATGTAGCAGTGTGTGTGTTTGTGCAGTAGTCTGTGCAAGTGTCTGCAGTGCCCCAGAAGGCCAAGGCCGTCAGGTTTCCCAGAGGTGGAGTTGCCTTTAGTTGTGTGCTAGGAACTGAACTCAAGGTCCTATACAAGGGCAGTCAGCACCAGTGAGTCCTCTCCCCACCTCCAAGTTGACAAATTTTATTACCCAGCACTATCCACCTTTGTCAGTGACAAAGTCTTACTTATGAGCAAGCGTACAGAACCAGATACAGACTTCTCTAAATTCTCCTTGTTGTTGGAAAGCTAAATTTTACCCCAGGCAAACATATCGCTACTATCCTCCTTGTAGTCCTACCTTATTTCATTTATTTAGGAAAAACCTTGGAATGGTGAAGCGGTTCAGCTGGTAAAAGCACTTACCACCACCAAGCCTGGTGGCCTGCGTTCAGTCCCCATGATTCGCATTTCAGAAGGACAGAACTGACTTCCCAAGTTGTCCCGTCGTCTTCACCTGCACACCGTCATACACTCACACACACATTAGTAATGCTAAGGAAAATCAGTTCTTCTAAAAGGACTGAAGTCTGCTGAATCCCCAAATCTGAGTAACTAGGTACCCATGGTAATCCTCTGGCCAAACAAAGTAGCTACTGAGTCTCAGCCCAACTGTGAAAATAAACTGTCTTGAGATAAACGTGGCATCTGTAGGAAGATGTACAGGCAGTACAGAGTTCTCTTGGTCAGTGAACTGGCATAAGCAGCAGTGCTGATGATAGCAGGTCCTTTTAAGAGCATTGTGGGTACTCTATGGTTCCGTAGACGACCCACTGTATAGATGTACGTAATATTATCACACTCACAAGGCATATATGGAAACATAAGAATTCTTTGCAGGTTTTGTTGTTATATTATAAATCCTTAAAGATGAATCACCATTGGGCTGTGTTCAGATGTCAGGATAATTCTACATGTGCAGAATTGATATTTAGGTTAAGTTCATTTGTTTCCAGCTTTAGGATTTTCTGGGATTTTTTTCTTCCTTTTTCCCTCCCTCCCTCTCTCTCTCTCTCTCTCTCTCTCTCTCTCTCTCTGTCTCTCTCTCTCTCCCTCCTTCCCTCCCTCCTTCTTTCTTTCTTTAACGTGTGTGGGCATTTTGTCTGTATGTATATGTGTGCCTGGTGTGTGTGGAGGCCAGAAGAAGGCATCAGATCCCCTGTAACTATAGACAGTTGTGAGTCCCCATGTGGGTGGTGGGAATTGAACTCTGGTCCTTTGCAAGAGCAGCCAGTGCTGAGCCATCTCTCTAATCCTCCGTTTTCTTATTCTGTAATCTTACATAAGAACAAATAAAACATTTGCATAACTCATTCATAAATTCTTTAGAAAGGTATACTTGGAGAGTCTTAGATCTACCCGAGTCACTGTCCAGGCTATCCTCCAATTTCCCCACCTTTTACTCAGTGCTTTTCAGTTTAATCTTGTAGACATTCTCTAATAACATCTGCCTGCATTATTGCACCTTATTTGCTTTTGGGGGGATGCTGATTCTTGTTTGTTTGTTTTGACAGTCTCTGTAGAGAAATATAGAATTGCTAATGCCAACTATATTTCAAGTAGTCACGCAGGGTATTGGGGAAAGTTTTCAATTAGCTGTAATCATGCCCCAGATAAACCTCACTGGCTGCTATGCTGCCACTCTGCAAAGCTGGGGAATGCTGCTTAATGAATATGTAAATGTCTTTCCTGTCCATTTGCATGGTTACATTTACATTCTTGATCTCCTGGCTGGATCTAGTTTATTCAGCTAATCCCCAATTAGTGAACCTCCTGGAGGTCTAATAGCTCTAAATTACATATTGAGAATGAATACTGTCTAAAGCTTTGCTTCTGAGCCTTCATATTAACGCTGGCTGTTAGCTACTGTAATGATTGCTAACACCACTGTACTAAATTTAAAACTGATTTCTCTGAGGTTTGAAAGGTAGGTTATTTGGCTTATAGTTAAAATTAGTTTGCAAATGAAGTGTATTCAGTAATTCCTTATTAAATATCCATAATGTACATTGAAAACTTCAATATCTATCAAAATTTCGTGAACATTTACAATGTAATAACAGAAATGATGGTGAAAACCTGCTTTTCACTAATGCTGTAGATTGCGGTTTTTTAGGCACAATGAAAGACAGAAGATTGTTCACGCACCACATGTCTCTAGAGCCAGTGACCTGTGGACCCTTCTGGTGAGATATGTGTAATTTTTTTTAAATTTTAGTGTAAGTTGGGTAGAATTTAGGAAAAGGGTGAATTTTTGAAAGCTAAGCTCTCTAATTCATTTAGAGTGTATTAGAAATATGTGCTAGAAAACATATAGATAACGGGAAGAGAGAAAAGAGAAAGGTTGGATTAGAAACTGGAAGAATGGGGCTCCAGAAAAAGCTGAATTACTAGCAAGCAAGCACCCTGCAGATAGGTGGAGAGCGGGAGAGTGCTGTGCAGGAAGTGCACAGCGTGCAGGCTTGTGTGGGAAGTGGGCTGTGGAGTCAAAGGCTGGGTATAAATCTGTGGAACAGCGAAAGCCTTGAAAACTGTGCTATTGTTCCTTGGTGTCATCACTCAGGAGAGCACAGCGGTCACCAGAATAGGTTCAGCGGGTAGCCCTGAGGATCTGTGGGAAAGGCAAGCATGTGCATTTTCTGTCACATAGGCCCACTAAGTACTCTCTCCCCAATGCAGCTCAAGTAAAGAGAGGCGAGAAACTCAGAGTCCTCATTTCACTGCACCAACTCAAGGACGGCTGTCTCAAGGGCATCCTGGGCATTGGGCTCTGGAAAAACCTCCAAGCCATCCTACAGCTTCACTCCTCCCAACTCACAAAGTTTCTGCTTCAAGAAACGAAAGGACAAGATGCTCAGCCACAGGCAGATCCACCACAGTCTTCGTCCCCCCTTTCAAGATGAAATCGCAGTTTCACAGAGATGAACATTGGAATAGCAAGAGTATCCGTGCAGAGGGAAAGAACCACAAGAGCATAGATGGGGACGGTGAAGATGTGAGTGACAGTGACATTCGTCAGTGTGACAAAGGAAGCTTCCATCAAGAGGCCACAGAGTGTGAGGAAGAGCCTTTAGGTATTGAGTGACATTTGTTTGTCATTTATTTTGTAAAAAAAAAGAAAAAATTTAATCTTGATTTCTGTGTGTGTACAGGTACAAGAGTCACGGCCCACATGAGGTCAGAAGACAGATTTGGGGAGTTGATTCTCTCCTTCCATCACGCTTTCTAGAGTTTGAACTCAGGTCATCGGATGTATGCAGAAAGTACTTACCTGCTGGGCCATCTGCTAGTCTTGGTTTTCATCTTTTGATGAGAGCAGTGGTTCTCAACCTTCCTAACGCTGCTGCCACCTTTTAATACAGTTTAGTTCCTCTTGTTGTGGTGATCCCCAACCATAAAATTATTTTCTTTGCTATTGTTATGAATCACAATGTAAAATCTGTGTTTTCCAATGGCCTTAGGTGACCCTTCTGAAGGGGTTGCAACCCACAGGTTGAGAACCACCAGATTAGCTAGTTCCTCCATTAATGTTATCCTGAGCATTTATTCCCTTTATGGTGATTGATAATTTCAGGACCTTTTTTAACATTTCAGATTTTCTAAATCCAAAGATTAGGTTCGAATTGTTCTAATGATTTCTTTCAAAGAGACTTACAGACTCTTGTTTTCTTCTGTTTTGTTTGTTGTTCGTTTGTTTTTTAAACAAAAGCCAGGAGCTAGGGGGCTGGCTCAGTGGATAAAGCGCTTGCAGCACAAGTCTGAGAACTTGAGTTCAGATTTCTAGTACCCATATAAAATCAAAGTATGACAGCACACATATGTAACTCTGGTGCAGAAAGGGCCGAGACAGGAGGATTCCTGGAGCTCTCTGGCCAGCCGGCCAGCCTGGTCAAATTGGTGAGCAGTCAGAGCCTTTATGTCAAAGTGGAGAGTGATAGATTAAGACACTCCATGTTAACCTATGGCCTTCATATGCACGGGCACTCGTGTGCACTCACAAGACAAACATAATAATTGTGCAAGGCCCGGCATGACGTGCTCAAGTCTGTAATACCATTGCTCAAGAGTCTGAGTCAGGAACATTGTGAGTTCCAGGCTAGCCTGAGCTACGTAGCAAGACACTGTCTCAAAAAAAAACAAACAAAAACAGCTTCCTGTGGCTGTTGTATAAACCCAGCAGTCAGGACACTGGGACAAGAAGACTGCTGGGAGTTTAATGCTAGCTAAGGCGTGAGTGAGACTTTCCCCAAAAAGTCCAGGACTACTGTGACTGGAGTTTATTATTTAGTTAGTTAGTTTTGGGGGATCAGGCTTCTCTGTGTAGCCCTGGCTGCCCTGGAACTAGCTCTGTAGACCAGGCTTGCCTCAGATTTGCAGAGATCCTCCTCCTGCCTCCCAAGTGCTGGAATCAAAGACATGAGCCACCAGTGCTTAGCCAGGCTGTGCCTTTTAACTCTGCATCCATTTCCCTTTTGCAAACTGTCGTTTAACAGATTTAATGGCAAGCCTTCAGAATGCCAGGGACCTGCAGAATATGCGAATTAAAAAGAAAGAAAGACATCATCTCTCTCCACAGCCAGGCAGTCTGTATCTCACAAAATCATCCACCCTGCCTCGGATCTCTCTGCAGGCCGCAGTAAGAGGCCGTGTTCCTTCTGCATGTTCTCATAAGCAGGTATGCTATGATACTAACAGCTTTTACAGCCAAGGGAAGCCTCGTGCCGTCAGCTATACTCTGAAAATTGTCTTGTGTAGAGAATGAACAAATTACTGCTGATCAAATGAAAAACGATTCTGCTTCCTCCTCCTCAGCCTGCAGTGGCAGCCTCCCTGTTCCCTGCCAGGCATGTCCTAGCCTTATTGAAGTGTCTGCTACAGCACTGCCGTTTGTGCTTTAGCTCTCGCTTGCTTTGATGGTGTGAGTGCTCTGAGCATTGGAGGAATCTCATCAACCCTGGTCTCAAGTGTGAGTGACTGTAGCCCTGCGCTTTCTCGAGGTTCTGATGTTTGAGTCTAGTGAAGACTTTACTGTTTGTAGAATATTTCGGAGTAGAAGGCTGGAAGTGACGGCAGTGGTGCTGACGGTGTGGAGTGAAGTTTGTATACTAAGAACTTGAGATGGCTCCGTGACAGGTGCCTTCAGCCTCACAGCCCCCTTCAAGAAATGCACAGTTGTATTGTACATCTGTCAGGCGAGAGGACTGAAGCATAGGGAGGGTTAAGTCACAGCCCAAATTGGCCTAATTTGAGTGGAAGTCATGTTCCAGTGCACATATGGGTCAGAGCCACTCTGGCCGAAGGAAAATACACTTAGCTGGGCATGTGTGGGTGAGAGGAAGCTCCTGATAGTACCCTGCACCTTCCCTTCCTCGCCTTTAAGAGAAATTGCTAGCACATCTTGTTTGTATGGCATAATGGGTTAAATCCATGGAGCACTTGGTGAATTTGCATGTCTGCCTGGTGCAGGGGCCATGCTAGCCTGTGCTTCATTCAGTTTAGCATATGTACTGCTGAAGAAGTGCAGCCTGCCTCTGCGGATGGCAGACAGGGGCCTTGTGACCGATTTAGCAAGAGGGAGATACAAGAGGAAATAAAAAGTGCAGCCACCTCTTGGATACATGAGCTGTTTATAAACATAGTCTTAGTGCAGAGGGAGTTCATGTTTATGTTTGTGTATGTTTGTGTGTGTGTGTGTGTGTGTGTGTGTACTTCACAGCCAGTGCTTTTCACATGCTAAGCACACACTTTATCAATGAGCTGTACTCCTGGACCAGTTAACTATTTTATAGTGACTATTTTAGTATTTAAATGGAAACTTCTGGATAAATTCAGTTTTGTTCCTATTCTAGGACTGTCTTTGATTTTTATTTATTATCACATTTTTCTATTGTTTTTTACAGCTCTATATGTATGGCGTTTCTAAAGAGTGCATGAACATTAACAGCAGAAACGCTGAGCATTTTCAGTTTGACATTCAGAATTACTTTGGTAAAGAAGATGTGTGTGCTGGAAAGGGCATTCAGTTAGCAGACGGTGGATGGCTGATCCCCTCCAATGACGGGAAGGCTGGAAAAGAAGAATTTTATAGGTGCTGTGTACCGGCCTTTACCTGTTCTGTCATCCCTCTCTCCCTCTTTCCTTTTTTTTTTTTTAATTTTGTTTATATGAGTGCTCTATCTGCATGTACACCTTTATGCTGGAAGGTGTTAGATCCCACTAGAGATGGTTGTGAGCCACTATGTGGGTGCCGGGAATTGAACTCAGGACCTCTGGTTCAGAAGCCAGTGCTCTTAACTGCTGAGCCATCTCTCCAGCCCTCTTTCTCTTTCCTATGACTTTTAAACTAAAAAGTTGCTAGTAATTGTTTTTTTGTTTTTGTTTTTGTTTTTAAAGAGGAATCTTTTAAAGTGTACTTTGGTTCACTAAACATTCTTTTGAAATCTTTTGAAAATTGAATGTGATTTATTCTGGGACTTAATGAAGTATATTTTTTATTTTTTAAAACTGGCTGTATTATCCATTATGGTAGAAATAGTTCAGTTTGAGTTTGCCTAATGGTATTACCCTATTTGTGTCATTTTCCTCTTTCACTGTATATTTTAATAAATATTAAAAATATAAGCACTAGTGTCTGCTTTGGCAGCAAAGATAACATGCAAATTCATGAAGCATTCCATATTTTTGGAGGAGATGAGTGGGATCAGGATACAATGATGTAAAATCCACAAAGAATCAATAAAATGTTAAAAAAAAAATGGAGAGTTAAAAATATGTATCACCACTAAAATTTAAACAGAAGTATTTAAATATCAGTTCATAATTAGCAAATCTCAGTATTTAGACATCAACAACTTAGTTGTACAACATTGACTTACAAGTTTGTGCTCACAAAAGCTTACTGCAGGATTTTGTACAAGAGAATAGTGATAGTTGTGAGTCCAATTTTATTCTGTGGTTTCATTGTGTTGTATATTTCTTTGCTCAGGGCTCTGTGTGACACTCCGGGTGTGGATCCAAAGCTTATTTCTAGTGTCTGGGTGTCTAATCACTACCGCTGGATTGTATGGAAACTGGCAGCTATGGAATTTGCTTTTCCCAAAGAGTTTGCTAATAGGTGCCTAAACCCAGAAAGAGTGCTGCTTCAACTAAAATACAGGCAAGTTGAAAGGGTGGCAGTAAGTGACTGTCATGCAGTCTGCAGGTCCTGTGTAGCCTCTGACTTCCATATCAGATAGTGCATGAACCAGTTCTGAGTGGCAGTGCCCACCCCCTTTCACCTTTGTAAATGTGAGTTACTAATTTGATCCATTATTTAAAGATTGTTAATAAAACATTTTTGTCTTTAGTATTCTTATTTTAATGATAAACAGTGTACTTCTAGCTAATTTTTTTTTTCTTTTGGCTTTTCGAGACAGGGTTTTCCTGTATAGCCCTGACTGTCTTAGAACTCAATCTATATAGACCAGGTTGGCCTTGAACTCTGCCTGACTCTGCCTCCCAAATGCTGGGATTAAAGGCATGCATCACCATGCCTGGCTTGATGAACTAATTTTCTTAAAAATATTTATTTATTGTGAGTACACCTGGGTATACCCATGTGCTCATATGCGTGTTTGGATGTACCCTCCTGTATGTATTCATGAAAGCCAGAAGAGGGTGTCTGGTGTCCTCCACTAGCACGCTCTGCCTATTCCTTTGAGGTGGGGGCTTTCCCTGAACTTGGAGCTTATGTTTTCTTGGCAGTCCATCTCCAGGCCCCTCAGAGCTGGGGTTACAGGCATGTACTCGACGCCAGCTTGGTACGTGCGTGCTGAGATCGAAACTCTGGTCCTCGTGCTCATGCCACACTTAACTGCAGCCGGTGGCTTGGTTTACAGTGAGACCCCAGGCTCCAGGGCCTAGGCAGCTTTTGCGTCTCGTTTTCAGATACGATGTGGAAATTGACAGCAGCAGCAGGTCGGCTCTCAAGAAGATCCTGGAAAGGGATGACACAGCCGCAAAAACGCTCGTTCTCTGCGTTTCTGATGTCCTTTCACTAAACACAAGTGGACCTGAAGCCTCAGTCAGTGAAACTCGTGCAGATCCCAAGAGTGTAGACACTGTCGAGCTCACAGACGGATGGTACGCTGTCAAGGCCCAGCTAGACCCTCCCCTTGTAGCTCTGGTAAAGAGCGGGAGACTGACTGTGGGCCAGAAGATCATTACCTACGGGGCAGAGCTAGTGGGCTCCCCAGATGCCTGTGCACCTCTGGAAGCCCCAGACTCTCTTAGGCTAAAGGTAAGTTAAACTGTTGTGCACTCTGGGCCAGAGCCCGTTATATTCTAGAGAGGTAATTCACTGAGAATGTTGTATTTACTTTTGTCATAAAGGACAGCATATCTTGTCAATGCACTAGTAATGGAAGAGGCAGATTGCTCTAAGGAGTTTGCTGGCTAGGGGAGGCAGAGCTATTTCTTGAGCTAAATGCAGCTGCAGTTATTGAATAAGAGTCGAGTCTGTACTAGAGTCGAGTTTAGGCACCAGTACTTCTGTCTCCTCCTTCCAGCACTGGCATAACAAGTGCCTGCCGTCACTTCTGGCCTTTTCACAGTGGCTCTGGGGATAAAACTCAGATCCTCATGCATACAGGGCAAGCCACTTCACCAGTTGAGTCATCTCCCACCCTCTAACAAGTATTGATGCTTTGTAGCAAAAGTAAGTGAACTTGAGTGCATGAGTGCATGCATTTGTTGCATGTATGTGTTGCTAGGGAGTCAGACCCTGCACATGTTAGGCAGGTGCTCTGTAGTAGATAACACCCAGGCCCTACAGTAGAAACATTCTTGAGGAGTATATATTGAAGTATTTTCCCTTTTATATGGTTTTTCTACTTACTCACTTTTTAAAATCTTTATCAGTCATCTTCATGAGATATTTAAAAGTTAATTTTTTAAAAAAAGTTTTTCTGTTTTCTGAGTATGAGTGTTTTGCCTGCCTGTGTACCGTGTGCGTGCAGTTCCCTCAGAGGCCAGAAGAGGAAATGGGATTTCCTGGAACCGGAGTTGTGAGCCATTAAATGGGTGCTGGAAACTGAACCCAGGCCCTCTGCAAAAGCAGCAAATGTTCTTAACTGTTGAACCATCTTTTTAATACACACACACACACACACACACACACAAGTAAATACTCTTAAAACATCCCAAAAGATTGAAAGTTGTAGAGTAGAATTCAGTATGTCTTTAACTTTTCCTCTTTAATGTATGCAGATTTCTGCCAACAGCACACGGCCCGCTCGCTGGCACAGCAAGCTGGGGTTCTTTCGTGATCCCAGGCCTTTCCCGCTGTTCCTGTCTTCACTGTTCAGTGATGGAGGAAGTGTTGGCTGTGTGGACATCATTGTTCAGAGAGTGTACCCTTTGCAGGTATGATCTGTTTTGAAACTTACCATGTAATTTCTTTCTCTGGGGAGAATCTGAATGTTCCTTCCTGTTTTCAATATATTGTCAGTGGGTGGAGAAGACAGCATCTGGATTGTACATATTTCGTAATGAGAAAGAAGAGGCAAAGGAAGCAGTGAGATTTGCAGGGGACCAGCAGAAGAAACTGGAGGCCTTGTTCACTAAAATCCAGGCAGAGTTTAAAGACCATGAAGGTAAAATGGGCTTCTTATTACAAATTGTTATTTCTCACAATACTTTATAATTATGTGAATTCTTATTGAGTAATTGATTCTTTTTTAATTCTGCGTCTATTTTTTTTTTTTACTTACAAAATACCACACATATACAGAAATGAAAATTGAACTGACTCCGGTTGTCATTGCTTCTTTGAGAACAGAGATGGCGAAAGATGACAGCTATTGTGTTAGTATTTTTCAGGATCCTTAAATAAGTGCCTTCTTTTCTCCTTTATTCTTCCCTCCCTCCCTCCTTCCCTTTCATTTAGAGGCAGTATCTTACAAAGTTGATCAACCTGGCCTTGCACTCACTCTTCCTCCTGCCTCGACCTCCAGAGTAGCTAGGGTGCAGGCCTGAACCCCAGGCATGAATTCATACACTGAGTTTGAGTATCTAGGAATCCTTGGTGTTAGGAGAAGGGTGGCCAGGAGGAGTCAGCCAGACTAGTGTCTTCCAGGTTGCTGTCAGACTTTTTCCCAGTGTTCTGTCCAGCTGTGCACCAGCCTGTGTCATTGAGGATCTGAGTTTCCGAGGAACAAACCTGAAATTACTAGGTAGGACCTTTTCCACACATGGACCTCAGTGACCATTTCTTTATCTCTTTCTTTCTTTCTCTCTTTCTCTCTTTCTCTCTTTCTCTCTTTCTCTCTTTCTCTTTCTCTCTTTCTCTCTTTCTCTCTTTCTTTCTTTCTCTCTTTCTTTCTCTCTTTCTTTCTCTCTTTCTTTCTCTCTTTCTTTCTCTCTTTCTTTCTTTCTTTCTTTCTTTCTTTCTTTCTTTCTTTCTTTCTTTCTTNTCTTTCTTTCTCTCTTTCTTTCTTTCTTTCTTTCTTTCTTTCTTTCTTTCTTTCTTTCTTTCTTTCTTTCTTTCTTTCTTTCTTTCTTTCTTTCCATGCATGTATGTGTTGCTAGGGAGTCAGACCCTGCACATGTTAGGCAGGTGCTCTGTAGTAGATAACACCCAGAAATCTGCATACATTAAAGAGGAAAAGTTAAAGACATACTGAATTCTACTCTACAACTTTCAATCTTTTGGGATGTTTTAAGAGACAGGGTTTCTTTTTCTCAGTGTAACAGCTCTGGCTGTCATGGAACTTGCTCTGTAGACCAGGCTGGCCTCAAACTCACAGAGATCTGCCTGTCTCTGCCTCTCAAGTGCTGGGATTAAAGGTGTGCGCTGCCCTTTTCTAATCTACTTTTGTGTTACTAAAGATTTTGTTTTCTTCCAAAGTGTTGAGTTCAGTTCAGGGCAGCTTCCCTGTTCTGTTAATTAAACTTTGGGACATTGAAGTTGGCTGAGGGGAATGACTGAATAGAGAGTATTACTCTATTCATATACTTCTCATCTACACAAATAAGATGATAGATAGATAGATAGATAGATAGATAGATAGATAGATAGATAAAATTTTTAAAAAATTTTTATTTTCAGGTATTTCCTCAGAATTTTCTGCAGGTATAAAATGTGTGTATCTATAGAGAGATAAGGGGACTGGAGAGATGACTCAGTAGCTAAGAGTGCTTCCTGCTCTTGCAGAGGACCTGAGTTCAGTTTCTACCACCCACACCACCTATAGCTCCAGCTTCAGGGGATCCCATGCCTCTTCCGGCCTTTATGGCACCCCACCCAAGTGTCATGCTTTCGTACAAGCACATACATCACATACTAAAAATCAAATTTTTAAATCAAAGATTAGACTTCCACTATCTTATTTATTTAAAATAATCACCAGGTTATACTGTTTTCATGAATAACTAAATCAGCACGAGAAACAATTTCTTTAAATTACAAATTAATCTCATTACATAAACCCCTGTGTGTGACATTTTACCTGAGACTGCCTCAGTTTCTTCTTCTTTTTTTTAAACAAGGAAGCTTTTAGTTAGATAGGTTGTTTTTAAAATAATTTTTAAATTTCATTTATTCATTGATTGTATGTCCATGTCACAGCACATGTACAGAAATAAGGGACAACTTATGGTCAGTTCTCTCCTGCCTAGTGGGCTCTGGGGATTGGGCCAGATCGGTAGATTTGGTAACTGGTACCATTTCAGCTGAGCCATCATCTGCCCTTGGTGGCTCTTGATTATCTGTTCTCCCTCCTCTGGATGTTTTTGCTTGACTTTGTAGTTTTCACTCCAAAGTTTTGGGTTTAGCTAATCAATGCTGCTTCCTCCTTCCCCTAGAAGACACAGCACAGCGGTGTGTGCTGTCCCGTGCACTCACAAGGCAGCAGGTCCATGCTCTGCAGGACGGTGCAGAGCTCTATGCAGCAGTTCAGAGTGCACCCGACCCCGATCACCTTGAGGTGAGGAAGAGCCAGGCGATGAGCTTCAGTCCCCAGGCCTGTGGGAAGCTGTACTCGTGCCGGCCTTTATAGCAAGTCCATGTTGAAATGCTGCATCTGGGGCATCAGATAGAGAATGAAAGGTTTTATGAGTTTCATATATTAAAATAGCATGATTTAAGATGCCAGGCAAAAGACCAGAGACATCGACTCAGTGGGCAAAGGCTCCTACCGCCAACCTTGAGCCTGAGTTTGATCCCTGGGACCACATGGTAGAAGGAGAGAACCAACTCCTTCCAGTTTTCCTCAGACCTCCGCACACCTAAAATAAATACTGTATTTATCTATATAGATAGATATTGTATTCTTTTTAATGCAGGCAAAGCTTTCTTTTTAGCCAGATGTGTGGCACATGTCTGTTTTCCAAGCAGTCTGGGGACCAAGAGGCAGGATGGCAAGATGTGTGCCTGGGATACACAGCCAAATTCTGTCTGGAGAGATGGCTTAGTGGTTAAGAATGCTCAGAGCTCTGGGTGGTGGTGGCACAAACCTTTAATCCCAGCACTTGGGAGGCAGATGCAGGTGGATCTCTGTGAGATTGATTCAAAGCCAGCCTGGTCTACAGAGCAAGTTCCAGGACTACAGGACAGGCTCCAAAGCTACAAAGAGAAACCCTATCTCAAAAAAACAAAAAAAAGAATGCTCAGAGCTCTTGTAGAGGACCCAAATTGGGTTTCCAGCACCCATGTTTGGCAACTCACAACTGCCTATAACTGCAGCTCCACCTGCACACATAAAATAAATCGACGAACATACAAACACTGTAAAAATTATATCTCCTGTTCCAAAGATGAACTATTAAATTATTAAACTAATTGATTGTACAGGAGATAAGGATAAAAAAGCCATTGAGCCAGCCCTCCTATGTCACCTGTGTAGTCACTGATTGTCTCTGTGCTTCACCTTCGTCAGCTCCAGTGTTGAAATAATAGCAACAAGTCATGGCATGCCTGTGAAGATCAAGTCGGTTAGCACGTTTACCAGGCATAAATCTGTTGTTCTGTTACTGTCCATTCATGTCAGACATTTGAAATGTCGGTGTGCTGGTTATGGTTAGAGAACACTAAATATTAGAGATTTGGCTCTAGGGAGGTCTGTCACAAGGACACATAGGCAGTTTGAGGTCCCTGGGAGCACTGTGTGATAAAATGATTAGTACACACGCAGGTGGATGGATCTCTTATATGTTGTTCTCATATAAGGCAGCTCAGTTAAGGTAGGCAGGACTGCTCTTGTGGCTGCTCTCTGATGTTTTAACTGCTCACAGGGTTGTTTCAGTGAAGAGCAGCTGAGAACCTTGAACAACCACAGACAAATGTTGAACGATAAGAAACAAGCACAGATCCAGTCAGAATTCCGGAAGGCCTTGGAGTCTGCTGAGCAAGAGGAGGGCTTATCAAGGGATGTTACCACAGTGTGGAAGCTGCGTGTTACAAGCTACAAGAAAGAAGAACAGTCATGTAAGTATGCAAGGTTTTTGTTAAGTTTAAAAGTGAGTTTATGCTGGGCGGTGCTGGTGCTGCACACCTTTGATCCCAGCACCCTGAGTGATTCTCTGAGTTCAAGGCCAGCCTGGTCTACAGAGTGAGTTCCTGGACGTTCAAGGCCACACAGAGAAACCCTGCCTGGGGGTTAGGGGAGTGAAATTACAAATGATAAATGAAATGTAAAATTCATGTAGACCAAGTGAATAAAATGGGCTGTGAGCACCCACAGCGCATGGGCACCTTCGTCTTTGTTGTTCACATGTTTCCGTAAATGGTCACCCGTTTGCCTTTGTGTCCTGTTCTCTGTACAGCTCTGCTGAGTATCTGGCGCCCATCAGCAGATTTACACTCCCTGTTAATGGAGGGAAAGAGATACAGAATCTATCATCTTGCAGTATCGAGATCCAGGAGTAAATTTGAACGAGCTAGCATCCAGTTAACAGCTACGAAAAGAACTCAGTATCAGCAGCTACCGGTCTGCACCTCTCCTTACACATTTTCCTTTGGCTAATGCAAGTGCTTCCCAGAGTCTCCGCACGCTGACGATTTGTTCTGTTCCCCCTAGGCTTCCCAGGAGACCTTACTCCAGGTTTACCAGCCCCGGGAACCTCTTCACTTCAGCAGACTGTCGGAGCCAGCCTTTCAGCCTCCTTGCTCTGAAGTGGACCTCGTAGGAGTTGTTGTTTCTGTTGTAAAAGCAGTCGGTAATGTGCTGTGTGTTAATGTAGCTTTCTGTTTTCTCTGGAAAAGCATTGCCTTTCAAGCTTTGAAACTTACAGAGTGGAGCTACACTGATAAGCTTGCTGAGCGGTGATGTGAAAGTAATCTTTGTATTTATGTATGTGTATTTTTCTGTATGTGTGTGGGTATGCCAGCATGTATGTGGGGGTCAGAGGACAACCTGTACGAGTCTGCTCTCTTCTCCCATGGAGCCCAGAGGTCAGACTCAGGTTGTCAGGCTTGATGGTAAAGAACCTTTACACACAGACATCCTCTTGGCCCTTAGCCTTCCTTTCTTTCTTTTTTTCTTTTTTCTTTCTTTCTTTCTTTCTTTCTTTCTTTCTTTCTTTCTTTCTTTCTTTCTAAGTAATTATGATCAAATAATTATATTTAGTGAAACATTTAAACCTCTGATCTCTTCAGCTTTTAATATTCTCCAACATCTTGGCTGGATTCTTCTCTTATTTGTTTGTTTTTGTTTGTTTTGTAGGGGCTCCCAGTGCTGGGCAGGTGTTCTACCACTAACTCTGTCCCACCCTGTTTCATTTCCTACTGAAGTTCTGCAGAGATGTCAAACCCAGCCAAGGTCTCTGTGTAGGCACAAGCCTTCCAGATGTTTCGGCCTTAGCTCCTGTCTCTCCCATTGCACTTCAGCCATGTGACATGTCCTTGTGAGAGACCCTTCCTAACAGGAGCAGTGTCCACTCCTCTCCCACAGCAGCACTCGTCTCTGGCACTCCTCAGCTCCCAGAGTGCACCACACCCTCGTGCCCCTCTGGGATGAAATGCTGTAAGGGCAGGGCACTGCCCCCTCCTAGAGCAGACATGATGTAGCACAGGCTCTTCAGTGTTTGCTGTCACTGTCCCCAGTCCTCCCTTCTCCAGCAGCTCACTGTCCTTTCTGTGTTTGGTTGAGTCCTCTGGAAGAGCGGTGCCCTCAGCTCAGCACTTCCCAGCCCTGACACGGCTCCTGAGCAGTTCTCCTTTATGCCGCGCACTCAGGGCTTTTTGCATTTCTACATCTGCACATCCCCTTCATAGCAGCCCTGCCTCAGGATGCCAGTTGTCTTGTGTGGCAACACATTTATTTCTGGCTTTATTTGGTTCTTTTTCGTTGTATTTTCTGTCTTTATCCATTATGATCACAGGCAGCCCTTTTGTCCTTAATTTTGCTTTCTGCAGACACTGTGTACATCGTTGTCATTTCTCAAGCCTGAATCTGTTCCCTTGTGATGTGTGCTGTCAGTTTCTTTCTTTGGTCCTGCTGTCTCCTTTCCATCTACAGAGTGATCTGCCTGTTATCTCCAATCCAGAGGTTTTTGTATTGACTCTATGCTCTAAAGTTCTATAGCAGAGCCACTTGTGAAAACTTTAGGCATTTCTTTTTTGTTTTTTTTCGAGACAGGGTTTCTCTGTAGCTTTGGAGCCTGTCCTGGCACTAGCTCTTGTAGACCAGGCTGGTCTCGAACTCACAGAGATCCACCTGCCTCTGCCTCCCGAGTGCTGGGATTAAAGAAAGGCGTGTGCCACCACTGCCCGGCACTTTAGGCATTTCTTATGGGGAATACGGGTTCCTTATGTTCTGTCTTTCTCTGTACTTGCTCACCTTCCCCTCACTCCTTCCTTCCCTCCCACCCTGCTGTCCTGTGTTCATCTGATGTAGGGCTTTTCTCTGACTGTTGTCTTACTAAGCCACATTGCCATTTCGTTCCTTGTCATCGGGTCACACTGTGTCTGCACACATTTGATTGTTATAGAAGGTGGGTAACTTATTGGTGCATCCCATCAATATTGAGAAATTGTTACATGCCAGGTGCACAGCAGATAAGAATCCCTTCCCGGAGCACTCTGGTGGGAGGAGGAGATTACGAGCAACAAAATAGCATGAGTGCCAAAGGGAAGAAAGGTTGGGAGGACAGAGTGCAGAAAAGACATCACTGACATTCGTGTTGGACTGGGAGAAACTGAGAGAGCAGCATGTGGAGTCTGGGAGAGCTCCAGGAAGGCTGTGCCGGGCGGGAGCTATTAGCTTTGCCAGAGGAGCAAGAGAGGCAGGGAAGCGCCAAGTGGTGTGTGTGGCACGTGTGGAGGTCAGAGGAGATGGTTCTTCCCATACCCCTTGATGTAGGGGCTGGGGATTGAACTCAGACTGTCATTCTGCACAGCAATTGCCTTTACTCACTGAGCCATCTTGCTGGAGCCCTTGTATATGTTTAACTTTAAAGGGTGATAGGAAGTCACGGGAAGGTCTCAAGTAGAGGAGGGACAAGACAGGCTTTGACCTTTTTGCATATCACCCGCACTATCACATTGGAAACAGGGTATAGAGGGTGTGAGTACAAACAGGGACTCCAGGAGGAGGCCATGGTAAGAATCTAGGCAGGGGAGGATGGTGAAGCAGACAAAAGCCATGGGCATAGGGAACAGCAGACTCTGGTTACACTCTGAAGCTGGAGGGACACTGTGGGGTGTCCAAAGCTATGGAAGACTGGAATTACTCCTTGCTGAAAACTTGAAAACAACCCATGGGAAGCATGGTTTGCAAGTACAGTCTCAGCCACATGAGAAGCTTCGGAGATGTGTTAGGCCAACCGCTGTGTTCACAGACATCTGCTCAGGGCAGTGGTCAGAGCTGAGGATTCAGATTTAGAGCCATTGGTACACCAGTGAGGAGCAAAGCCATGAGGCGGAACGAGAGCACTCTGAGGGTGAGGGTACTCGGAAGAGACAGAGGACTCAGTTTGCACACCTGGATGTTCAGGGATGGGACAGACAGAAAGGAGGCAGTGTGTCTGGAGCACTGGTGTGAGGTGAGAACCAAGACTTGGTGGTTGGCTTTGGCATCATGGAAGAACCCTTTCTGTGAAGAGAGGGACTGGCTGTCTGAGTAGAACAAGGGAGCAGAGGACTAGAGATGGTGGGTGTGGTTCCTTCTCTTGTTCAAAAGAAAAGGAAAAGAAACGTGGTTGTTAGAATCATGATCAGGAGAATAGATTTCAGATGAAAGTGTGGCAGGTGCACTGAGGGCACCCTGTGCTGAAGAAGCTAGGAAGAGAGTAAAGCCTGACACCTGTGTCCAGACACGCTGTGATGAGACATGCCAGAGCACACAGGGCCACAAATGCAGGAGGTAATGGAGAGGTAGAATCTGCATAGCTTCAAACAGGCAGGAAATACGTGTCCAAGGAAGTAGAGGGAACTGACCTAGGTACATCCCAGTGCCTGCCCAGGCCCACGCCAGCCTAGCTCTCAACAAGCCTCCTCTACTTGCTGAACACTTCTTTGCTGCCAGTTCATCTGTGTTTCCTGCTGCAGTCCTGAATCAACCGACTCTGGTTCCTTTTCAGTGCGAAACACATCGTAAAACTAAGGTCTCTTATTGACTGTAAGAGTCAGAGCCACAGAGAAAGCTGCCCTTGGAGAAGTGTCTTTCCCTCTTGAGCAACTCCTGGGTCTGGTCCTTCTTTGCCCCTTCAGGCCTCACCTGTTTAGTTTCTTGTTCAACCTTCCTCTTTTCTTGACTCAAAGTACTAGAGACATGTATGTATTTTCTGTCCCCTTCCTGCTAGGCAGGGTGACACTGGAGCCTTTCTGGTGTGCTTTTCCTAGTTAGCACGGTCTTGGGATTTTCTTCATTCTTTTCACAGCTGCCTAGGAAACTGTCACACGACGGTGGGTATGGGTGCAACTCAGCTACCCCTGTGTGTGAGCTGATAAGGGTTGCTTCCAACATTTTATAACTGTGGACCAGTACTTCAGTGCAGCTGTTATCATGACCCTTGTGTTAGCACGACCCTTGCTCACGTGTATTTTAATATTATTGGGCATCTGTCTTCGGCGTGGGCTGCTAGAAATAAAAGAATGGTGGGTAGAAAGGTAAGATGTGCATAGCTTTGCCAGGCAATGCCGAGTTCTTCTCCAGAAGGCCGGGTCAGATCTATACTTCCACCAGCAGTAGATCTGCTGCCCCATGGCCTCGGAATGTTTGCCAGTGAAGTTACCTTAAGCAAAGGATTTTCATTCTGGAAATCCCATGCTTTCTCTAAACACGGGTTTTGTCAACTAGAACAAACAAGTATGTCATTATCCTAGCAATTGTAAAGATAATGATGACTTACATTTCATTCTAGGTCTTGCTCCTTTGGTCTACCTGTCAGATGAGTGCCTTAATTTATTAGTGGTAAAGTTTGGGATAGATGTTAATGAAGACATAAAGCCACGTGTGCTAGTTGCTGCGAGCAACCTCCAGTGGCACCCAGAATCCAGATCAGTAGTGCCGACTTTATTTGCTGGGAATTTTTCCGTATTTTCCACCAGTCCAAAGGAGGTCTACTTTCAGGAGAGAACCAACAGAATGAAGCAAGCTATTGAGGTAAGATCAGGAAGTAGGAAGCAGAACACAGTTTTAGCCCAGTGTTTCCACACATGAGCATGTGCTCATTCACGCCCTCCTTCCTTCACCCTCTTAGGGGAGAGTTGGTTTTACATTGATGTGCACGCTTGACAGGTGCTATCAAATTTTCAGTGTCTCACCAGGCATGGTGGCACATGCCTGAGATTCCAGAACTTGAGTGTCATCTTCTACAGAGAGAACCGGGCCAGCTGAAGGCTAGCAAGACCCTAGCTAAACAACAAACAAACAAAAATGTGGCTCATTCTATTGTTCTGAATGTTTTATTTCTAAAAGAAAATACTTTCCAAGAACATCAGTGTGTGAATTAGCAACTCAGGACACAGCTTTTCCACTTTATTCTCTTAGAATATCGATACATTTTACAAGGAGGCAGAAAAGAAGCTTTTACATCTGCTTAATGGAGACAGTCCCAAACGGTCTACCCCGACTAAAGACTCCACTCTGCTGGCTTCCACCTGCCCTGCTGCAGAACCCACTCCCACAGGTAGTCAGGTAAGTTATCAGTTTGAGAAATGACTTTGGGAAATAACAGGTGTCTGGCACGCCCTAGCAAAATGTGAGGTGTAACTAGGCTGTATTTAACCTGTGGCTAGCTTGCTGTAGCTGCTCTGTGTGGAGATTGTAACCTGTGTGTTGAAGTGTGAATGTAAAGCTGTGGGAGCAAACTACATGGTTGGCACTCCAAGGACATGTAGTTGAAAAGCCTTTTGCCTGGTCCTGTTGCTAGAAGAGCTGCCCATACATACCATTTGCTAGCTGTTGCATTGTTTCTCAGGCCGGTTGGCTCATTAAATCATGGTAGGTGTCTGATTGCCAGGGTCGAGAGGACAAGTGGCCCTGTACAGCACCCTGACTCAATAAAGCAATCCTCACTCAGTACAAGAAAAGCCACTGTTAAGAGTTAGACTGGCAGAGCTCCCAAGGTCCCAATGAGGAGCAGAAGGAGGGAGAACATGAGCAAGGAAGTCAGGACTGCGAGGGGTGCACCCACCCACTGAGACACCCACTGGGGCTGATCTAATGGGAGCTCACCAAGGCCAGCTGGACTAGGACTGCAAAAGCATGGGATAAAACCAGACTCTCTGAACAAGGTAGACAATGAGGGCTGCTGAGAAGCCAAGGACAATGGCACTGGGTTTTGATCCTACTGCATGTACTTGCTTTATGGGAATCTAGCCTGTTTGGATGCTCACCTTCCTAGACCTGGATGGGGGGGGGGGGGACCTTGGACTTCCCACAGGACAGGGAACCATGACTGCTCTTTGGACTGAAGGGGGAGGGGAGAGGGGAGAAGGGGAAGGAAATGGGAGGTGGGGAGGAGGTGGAAATTTTTAATAAAAAAAAAGAGACTGGCAAAGAAAGAAGTTGAACAGTTGCCAGTGACTCAGGAGAAAAGAAAGGTGTTAGAACAGTCAGGGTCAGCTGTGGCTCAGCAGATAAAGGTGCTGTGGCTGAGCCTGATGTTGATCTGTGTGACCCACCTGGTGGAGTAGGGAACCTTCACAGGTGTTCTGGAGCATGTGAGTGCTCAAGCGTGCACACACACATGCACATTACATGTACGCACACTAGTAAGTAAATATTCAGAAAAAAGGGAGGAAGAAGTAGAAGTTAGAGTATGTTCTTAAGATGATTCTGAAAATCTGTCTTTTTAGCTTTGTAACTCTCTATTGGAAAGTTAAAGCAGAAATGATGTGTGATTTTTTTTTTTTAATTTTGTTTTAGGATCTCTTTGTTTTCCTTTTCTAGTCATTTTTATATTCTCTTGTGTAAAATTATTTCCTATGGGATGGGAATAACAGCATGAAATTTTTTGACATCATCTATCCTTTAACAATTGGATAAGAAAGTGGCCTCTGTGTTTTTTTAACAAAAGGTTAAATTTTATTTTGTTTATATATAAGTACATATTATGATAGGCTCCTTTTTTATGTTTTGTTAGAGGTTTTCACCTAACAGTGAGCAAAATTATCAAAGTCCATTATCACATTGCACACCAAAAGAGAAGTCTATACCCCTGGCTCAGTCAGCCCAGCCAGCTTCAAAGTCTTGTTACGGGGAGAGAGAAATTGATGACCCAAAGACCTGTAGAAAAAGAAGAGCCTTGGATTTCCTGAGTCGGCTGCCCTTACCTCCCCCGGTGAGTCCCATCTGTACCTTTGTCTCTCCGGCTGCACAGAAGGCTTTTCAGCCGCCACGGAGGTATGGGACCAAACACGCAACAGCTCAGAAGAAGAAAGAGCCCGGTTCCCCTCAGAGGACACCGTGTCAGAAGGCCAGCGGCCTTTCTCTTTTGGAATATGATTCAGTAGCTGATGAAGAGCTTGCCTTGCTCAGTACCCCAGCCTTTTTACCTGGCTCATCAGAAGGAAATGAACAAGCATTTCCTGGTGACTCCACAAGGACCCCTGTGCCCCAAGGACAAAAAGACCCCAGCTAGCACAGAGGCCAGAGCAGCATGGAGGACCCAGATGCAGCCGAGTCTCAGCCTCCCAGTTGGTAAAGTGTGTGCAGAGACAAGACATAAATGACAGCACATTGCTGACGGTTTGTTTACTGTACAGATGTTCCGCCTGCTTCTGTATTTATCTAACTATTCAGATGTCTAAAGCTAGCCAGATAGTAACTAACTTAAAGATCTTTACATCTTTGTCATTGGATTTGATCACTACAAGCATATTTTACATGCAGAATAAACACACCTTTGCTTTTTGTTTGTGTCATTGACTAATTAAAGTTGAGGTCTCTAAGCACTGTTACTTTACTAGATAATTTGTTTTAGTTTGGTTTCTGTTTTTAAGGTTTTTGTAGGTAGCTCCTATGACATAGTGTCCTTTCACACGTGCTTGGTTCTGTCGGATAAACACACGACCGTCGTGTCTACTTCTGGCCAGTTATTTACCCTTGACAGCAATAGGAACCTTCAAAGTCACTCCTTTCTCTACTCTCTCAAATTAAATTATTCCAGCTAGAAATCCAGCCAGACATAATCGTGCACACCTGTCGTCCCTGCACGAGGTAGAGGCACTACTGGGAGTCCAGGTCATCCTTCACTAACAGCAAGTTCCAGCTGCCTGCTGTGTCGCACCTTCCCAACCACAGCACCATCTACGGGCAAACGCTCTCACTGCACTTCAGCCTTAAAGTGTTCCATCAACTCTTATTAGTGATTTAAGGATTGTTCATAAAATAATTTTGTCTGCGTGTCCTAATCATTTTTCTGGAACCCCAACCTAGAGCAGAGTAAATGAGTCTTACATGAATGAGAATGGTGCTATCTATGAAATTTAACCTCTTTGTTTGTTCTTTCATTAGAGACAGGGTTTCTCTGTGTAGCCCTGGCTATCGTAGAACTCGAACTCAGAGATCCACCTGTCTCTCCCTCCCCAGTGCTCAGACTAAAGACATATGCCACCACCGCCCGACAGAAATGTAACCTTTTTTCTTGGGAATTCTATCAAAAATGCTACTACTTCCCCATCTTCTCTCAGGCCACATAGTACAGGCACCTTTTACATGGACCACAAACATCCATGCTGCATGAACAAAGTATGAAGCTTAAGCATGTGTGCAGATTTTCCTTCTTAAAGTGGCAGTGATTAAAGCCAACAGTGTTTACTGCGTGACCAGGGCGAAAGCATTTGGTGGTGTTTATTCTTTGAGAGCCTTGGGGTCACGGAGGTCTCTGCTGGCTCTATAAATAATGGAAGTGGGAAGACAGTGATGCAAGTCAGTGATGCAAGTTCAAAGGGCCCAGAAGTCAGAAGCCATAGGAGGAGAAAGAAAAGAACACAGTGCTTCTAACTGGGATAAGCCTGGAGGCATTTAATCAGTTGTTTACATTTCTAACCAAGTATTTTGGTATCTCCCCATAGGAGGAAGCAGGGACATAGCTGGGCAGGAGACTGAGAGCTCTGATAAAACTCTGGGTCCGCAGCCTGAAGCCTCTCTCTGTGGTCATCAGCTTCGGCTGAGGCAAACCAAAGCTCTGAAAGCCAATCAGTCATATCAGGGAATGTGATTCTGGCCCTTTGGGTGCTCCCGTGGAACCAAAGGAAGGCTATTCCATTGGGTTCTCTGATACTTCTCCCCCTCTGCCAACCTAGATGATGCAGCCTTCCATACCAAAGTCATGCAGGCAGCGTCCAGGCTGTGAATCCCACAGCTACCTGGGCCTGGCGGGTTGGAAAACCAAGTGAGTTGCTGTAGGACTGCTGTGTGCTGTGCTAGGCGTTAGAATTTAGCAAAGTCAGACTGGCAGATTCATCCCAATTTACTAGTGTGCTCACCAGCTGGGCTTTCTGTGTAAGACACCAGTTTTGAAAATGTTAATGAAGTGTGTTGCTTATTGTCATGAAGATGTTGAATGGACTTCAGCAGTGTTGATAATGGGATGGTAAGTAGGCCTTCTAATGTGCAGACTTCATTCCTCCTAGTTATTAACGGTGATTCATAAATAAGCTTATGATCTATGCAAAGGTTATTTTATGGTTGAAGTGCTTGGGTTTTGGTAAATGTTTTGTTGTTAAGCCAAAAATAAGTTCAGTGGCAAACCCAATATAAATGCAATACCATATACAATTTTAATAACCATAAAAGCACCATTATATAAGACACTTAAAATAATATTTCACAAAACATTAGAAAGAAGCTGTTGGCCAAAAAATAAATAGACCATACATTCTACATGGTCTTGTCACAATCTCGTACCAAATGAATCTGATTCCAGCCTGCTGGGATTTAATTTGAACTCATAAATTCATAACTGATCTGAGGGGCACTCCACATGACATACATACCCTGCTGATCTCAATGAGCATGACTTTCACATCTCCTTGTATGACCTAAACCCTGGCTGCTTCATTGCTTTGCACTCCCAAACATCTGGGTGGCTAACTAATCACACGTTAGAGACATCATTTCGGAAATCACTTGATGACTCTTTAAAACTGGTGTTTTGCGAAAGCAGGTTATTTACATTGCTAGACTACGAGCTGGAGGGGGGAAGGGGTTCTGTCCCGCTGACGCTGCTGAGCGCAGCAGGGTCTGACTGTAATGGTACTCATTCTCCTTAGGGGCCAAGTACTGAGAATTCATAGGCGTGTTTAACAGTGACACATCTTTAAGGGGAAAAGTCCCCTAATGGTACCCTGAAGGACAACATCCCCTTCTGTACATTAAGTCTAAAAGAAAATCAGTGCCATTAGAGTGATGGCTCTGGTCTCTGGATGCAGACTGTCAGAGCAGCAAGGGCACTGAGCTGCTTCCTGCCTCCGCCTCCGTCCCCCTCACACTCCTGCTTTATGGAGAAGATGGATCTGTCAAAGGCAGTGGTACTGTAGCCCATAGAGATGTGCTAGGAATGCTTTGTTTATGACTCCGCAACTAAGTGATAATCTTGGATCTCGGTTTCAAATCAGCTCCTCTAGAGAAAGACCTCTGGGTCCTCAGCAGAATCCCCATCGCCAAGCCACATGGGCGCTCTCTGACATCGCTTGTTGGAGATAATGAATATAATGACCTCTGTTCAGAAATTTCTGGGCTTGGCTATTTACATTGGAATTAGAGCTCTGGCTAAAACTGAACAAAGAATAAATACCAAAAATTGAAGTAGAAACTTCTTTAGGAAAATTCTGCAGTGGCTGTGCACAGACAGCTAATATCCATGGTGACAGCCACCCCTTCTGAAGCTCTCGTTGGAGAAGCCGCCCTGAGCCCTTCGGTTGGGGAGCTCTGTGTAGGTGCTCCAGTACCCAGAGCCACTGGGAGGCGCGCTGTTCCTGTCCTGGTTTCTGTTCGCTCTGCTTGGCTTTTCTGCATGGAGGACACTGTGAAAGGTAACATCATGTTCATACCGTTCTTTCATTCGGTGGATTTTTTCTCGTGGGACTCCATGGATGTTTCTTCTACACAGAAGAAAAAGCCACAAGTGTTTAGTTAAGGCAGGCTATCAACACAAGTAACTTACATCACAAATCCTGCGTTGCATGGCTGCTGCACTGCCTCAGCGTGTGAGGTCCAGCTCTGCTGGCTCTCGTGCCGCCTGGCACATCCCCAAACAAGCCTGCGGCTTGCTTTAGAAAGGCTTTGTTTCAGCCGGGCACTCAGGAGGCAGAGACAGGCAGATCTCTGTGAGTTCAAGACCAGCCTGGTCTATAGTGTGGTTCCACGACAGGCTCCAAAGCTACAGAGAAACCCTGTCTTAAAAAATGAAAAAAGAAACAAAAAAAAAGCTTTGTTTCTGGTGATATCGACAAAGAACAAATACCATAAGATTTAACTCCTAATGTATTTAGTGATATGCCTGTTCAGATCAGCTGGTCTCTGATACCATTAGGTGATGCTTACTAAAACAATCCTAAGTTCTAGAAGGCACAAATACTAGCTGGGGACGTGGTTAGACATATAATTGCCAAGATTTTAATTACAGAATAGTTCATGAAGTATGTCAGTTTTAACAATCAGGCAATCGAGGAGGTGGCCACAGACTCATTTTGGAAATACTGCTGGGCCATTGGCATCAGGTAACACAGAGCATGGGTATCAGAAGCCATGCATTAAAAACCAAGTTAGTATTCTTCAGACACGTGTTGCTGTTAAGTCAAAGCAGCACTTGTAGCGTGAATGACCCACGTTCTGCTTCCCACTCGAAGGTCTCGCTTTAGCCTGATGCAGAAGCACCACTGGCATGTGCATCCCATGCAGAGGCAGTGCTGTGGATGCTCATTAATGAAGAAGCAACTGAGCATAAGGTGAAGTGCGTCCTTCTAAAGGACCAAGTCCAAGCCAAGGATTAGCATTCGGCATTGTATTAGACATCTGACTCAGAGCTAAAGTCGTCACATTAATAGTTCCAAGTTTATCAATTTCTAAGAATTACCATTTCTGACCTGAAAATTACAGTCCATTTCCAGCCTGAAAAGATGCTTTTGTTCGGTCTGAAATACCTGAAAACGGCAGGATACAGAATGAGGAACTAGGAAAACAAAGAGGTACCTGGCTAACTCTTGAACGTTGAATTTCCAGCGAGTGTCGGGTTCTCGGAATATAACTTCATAGTTATTCTCAAGTGCCTGATTTTTCAAAAGTACATAAGACAATGAAGACATGGCATGTATGCTTGGGGGTGTTCATGCTCCCCTTAACATTCACCACAGCCTTGCCCAAAGCCCCCTGTGTTACGAGTCATCCAGGCCCCGAATCTGTCCCCATACCTAGCCACTCATGCTGTATTACATGTCTCATCGACAGAGTTTATAGTTTTATCCAGTATGACTCTGAACATCCTTTAAGACAGATCACTGGACTCATGATGAAGCGTCCCAAACACAGGTGTGAACAAGGAACCTGGAGAATCCTAAAGTCACTTCCATGATCATGGAGTTGCTTCTGCTTTGGTTTGTAACTGAGAGTGCCATCATAACTTAGGAAGTAAAAGCGATTTCCACAGATTTTAATATAGTGTTTCCTGCAGGTTGCAGCTCTCCCTGCTCCACAGTGCTTGGCCCAGTGCCCTGGGACCCATTTCTGTGAGTTTAGAGAAATAGTAAGGGGGCTGGAGAGATGGCTCAGCAGTTAAAGAGCACTGGCTGTTCTTCCAGAGGACCCAGGTTCAATTCCCAGCACCCACATGGCAGCTCACACCTGTCTGTAACTCGTTTTCTAGGATCTGATATCTTCATGCCAGTGCACCTAAAATAAAAGTTAGATAAATTACTTTTTTAAAAAGAAAATTGGTCTCATGTCAAATCTAAACAGTCAGAAACTGACAGCTTTATTCAAACAGCCTTCTGTTATCACCAGTACTCAACGTGTTAAAGATAGAATTAAGTAAGCTAAGATGAGGGCTCCTGCATAAGGAGGCAGCATGCATACGTTCTGATGCGCTGTTACACCAGAGGGGGCTACAGTTAGTAGTATAGAAATCAAAACAGCCAACAGAATTCTGAGTGTTCTCATCTCATACAAAACTGGTGTTTGTGGTGGTGGATAACCTAAGTACCCTGAATTTATCAAACAGCCCACTGTACTCCATGAATATGTAAGATTAGTAATAAACTAATAGATACATTTAAATAGATGTTTCCCCTTCGTCCTTTGGATAATCAGTTCTATTCAGGAAAAAAATCAACCACTGTGTCTTAAGGACAGCTAGTGCCTAGGTCTCATTAAGGGCTTTGGGTGTCTAATATCCATCCAGATCAGAGACGTGAAAAGACTTCCTGGAAGTCAGTGCCAGATGCTTTTAATGCTGCCTCGGGCTGTGCCCGCATCATCAGCTCTTCATGGCCTTGTTCGCCTCATGTGGCCTTAAATAAGGACTGAAATATAGAGTTTCTATTCACCCATTATACCTGGGCCTGAACAGAACCGACGGGGAAGCCTCCGTAGGCAGAAGCGCAGCTGCCTGTCTGCTATTTTGCCTAAGTGTGGAAAGAATCCTAAAGCCCAATTGCCATGGAGGAGACTTCACAACATACTGGGGGCCATGTGTGTCTCCAGAAGCTGTCTGCCTCCTGCTCCACTCAGTTTGCGTGTGGACTGAAAACCTGTTAGCGGAAGATGTAAACTGTCTGAAAAGATCAGAATGGAGCTGAGTTGTGTGTTGATGTTGGTATTCCACTGTCTTAAAGGGTCACGCTGGCAATCCTAAGCCTGTTTATAGACGAAGAAAGTCTGTCGCCCTGGGACTCGCAGCAAAACACTGCTGAAATCCCCAGCCTGCAACAGGGAGATCTGGCTTGCTGGGACCCAGAGCCCTGCTAGTACACCCCCTTGTCTGTAACTCCCTCAAGGATGGGTGGATGCTCCCCAGAACAGAAAATAGCCCAAACTGAGGAGGCAAAGGCAGAGTTCTACAAGTTCGAGACCAGCCTGGTATACATAGTGAGTTCTAGGATAGCCAGGTAGAGAGAACCTGGAGAGAGAGAGAGAGAGAGAGAGAGAGAGAGAGAGAGAGAGAGAGAGAGAGAGATTGATTTACCAAAGACTCAGACCAGTACTCCCATTTATGGAGGCCCTGAGGTAAGGTAGCCCCTCAGTGACTGAAGAGCAGAGAAACCCTATAAGAGCTTTACCTGCTCCCTGCGAGAATTATCGTTAGTGAGTGTGTAATCATGGACCACCAGAAAAAGAGGAAAGAGCACAGGTTTCAACTTTCTCACAAAACGCCCACAACGGAAAATTCAGAATGATACTTCTTCCTACCATGACTGCATAGGGCTTCATTTCCCAGGCGTGCAGGTTGGTGTTATCAATAATAATGGGGGATATGCCATTCTGCATTGCTTTCCTTGCTGTAACACAATGCAACACAACAGTGAACAACACGCAGCGGGCACCAGCGCGAGCATCACCCACATTTTGTCACTTCCATTGCAGGAGGCCTTCCTCGCTCAGTGAACCGCTACCTAGTGCAGAACCGCTAGCGGGGTTTTCCTTTAACTGGGATCTACGACAAGAGGTGAAGCCCTGCCACCCTGCTCGGGTAGACAAGTGGCAGGGCTTGTCTCTAAAGCTCCTACAATCGACATGCACCACAGGGGGTCCCGGGAGTTTGGAAAGGAATTTGTCACCTCGCTTCTGGTTCCACTCATGAGCTTCCTCCAGGAAGTCCGGGTTGAACTCATAGGCACCATCTTCCCCGAAGAAAAAATCGTCGGTGCTGAAAATCATGGCCCTGGGAAAGTCACGCTGCATTTCTCTGCAAAGTGGAGAAACGGAAAAGGGATTTGCCCCGTTATGCTTGGTCATGGGAGAACGGCTTCTTTCCATCTTTAACAGCGAGCAGATTAAAATTCTGAGAGCTGCACGTTTTGAATTTCCCACTCCACTAAGGAGGAGAATCAATCATCTCAGCCATCACTCCTCAACGGGAGGCAGAAGCCTGAGAGGCCGCTGTGCAGGTTGCCAACCCTCGGAAGTAGAGGTCACTGGTCACGGGCACTGCCTCCTGCAGCATCCAGGATTGACTGACACTCCAAAGCAAAGTTGAAGGCATGGTGACTGTTTCCTGAGGGACATCAGTTACCAGGGCCACTCCGCTCCAAGGCACACCAGTGCCCTCCCAGACCTCCCCTCAGGCACCATGCCCCAGGCTGCAGCCCTTCCCTTAGCCCCTAAACTCTTACCTGTCCTGGGTCCCATTCCTCGGAGCTCTGATCTCTGTAAGGACCCATCTGAGCAACTAGTTCTTGCTGAGGTATGAAATGTGGATAAAGGAGATGTGTGTGAGCTACCCTCTGAGTTCTAACAATACCTAAACCAATGAAAAAAGCACAAGAGAAGGAGAGAGGTGAACCCAATAATGTCCCTGTGCCTTCTGAGCGCTACCCCTGGGGTCTAAATGGGAAAATGTCATAGGAAACGATAACATCACAGAGGGCGCCTTTACGTGACACAGAAAGCGAGGTAAGTTCTGCAGGAAAGACTTGGGATGGCATTACATTTGGGGGCAGGTGCTATTAAATCAGAAGTGACAGGGTCAGTGCCAAACTACAGTTTCCTTTAAAAGGAAAAAAAAATGCAAAAGCCGGTTATCTGGCAATGCATGCCTGCAGCACAGTGGCCTCTGCTAGGGCCTGGCAACCACTCCTGCAGCTGTGTGGAGAGTGACGGGTGCGAGATACAAACGGGAAAGCAGGCAGAGGCGTGGGGGTCTTTTAAATTCTGCTCTTGCTAGAGACAGAGGCAGCTTATCGCCTCCTTCCCCCCTTTTTGTTTCGGTTTGTTTTTCAAGATAGGGTCTCTCTGTGTACAGCTCCGACTGTCCTGGAACCGCTCTGTAGACCAGGCTGGCCTCCAACTCACAGTTCCTCCTACCTCTGCCTCTCGAGTGCTGGGATTAAGAGTATCTCAATCCAGCAAGAAGATGGAGCTGTAGAGCCGAGTCCCACCCTCTTGCTTCCATTCCAGCCGCCATCTGCCTAAACCTGTTTGCTCAATTCTAAGACGTAGAGAGCAATCCCGGGGGCTGAAGGGAGAGCCCTTCGTCAAGGGGAAATACTTAACAAACGTGAGCCGCACTGTTACGCTGTTTGTCATAACTCACCCCACCCTGACTGATGGCAGGGACCGTACACCTGGGCATGTGGGAATATGGGGCTTTGTAGGGGTTGCGGTGGATGCGAGAGAGGGGGAAAGGATAAGAGCTTCCGCTTCGAAATGTCGGTAAATACGTATTCCAGAAACAGCCCGAAAGCAACTCTACCTGAGTTCTCCAGGAGGCGTGAGAGCAGAGTTGGAAATACTGACAAAGTAAACGCATTTGGTTACAGGCTGTGTTGGCTCATGGGCAGTCCAGTGAACATTTGATTTTAACATAACCTGACTATCCTTGAGAGACTTTTGAGAAAATGTAAGACTATATTTCTTTTTTCTTTTTCTTTTTTGGTGTTTGTTTATCTTGTTGGTTGGTTGGTTTTATTTGGGGGAGGGGGTTGAGGCAGGGTTTTGGTGTGTTAACAGCCTTAGCTGTCCTAGAACTAGCTCTTGTAGACCAGGCTGGCCTCGAACTCACGGAGATCCGCCTGCCTCTGCCTCCCGAGTGCTGGGATTAAAGGCGTGCGCCACCATGTTTTTTTTTTTTTTTTTTTTTTATCTCCCTGCGCACCACCTGCACATCTGTCCATGAAGGCCAGAAGAGGGCATCAGATCTCCTGGAGCTGGAGTTAGTTATGCACCACCATGTAGGTGCTGGGAACTAAACCCAGGTCCTCTGCAGGAGGGCAAGGGATCCGAGCCATCTCTGCAGGCCTGAGGTAACAGATTTCAATATCAAAGGACCAGTATCCATTAGCCAACCTAGGAAACCCCTATTGACAACTGCCAGACACCACGTGTTACATGAAGTGTTACGGCACAGAAAGAAATCAAGGAGTTGCTTTCAGGAATGTAGGAGCTGGCTAAGGGGCCAGGTCTCCTGCACAGTTTGTTGGGCTCATGTAGGACAAGCTGTACCAGCCAAACACAGAGAGAATTCGGGTCAGCAACATCAACATTTTGGCAAGGGGAGCATTATAAAAGGGAGCATTTGCCTTGGGCCTCGAGGGTAACTTCTACCTCATGTGAGAGGGGATGAGAGAAGGCGGGAGCAACACGGCCAAGGTGAATAAACAGGAGCAAAGACGCTGCAGCCCCACCGGGGCGCACCCCTAGAAATGCTAGGCGCAAAGCTTTGGGAGCCTCTATGGAAACGAGCTTTCCTTTCCACGTGTAATCCTCAAGGGCTCCTGTTTCCTGTCAGGGCTTTAACTACGGACAGAAGTTTAAGTTTCTGATGTTTTCTCTCCATAAACTTTAAGACGTAATGTTCGTTTCACACTTTCTTTGCCCCTTAATCACTTCAAGAAAACGTAACACCACGGCCCTTTTTGCTCACGATGTTTTACTCAGAGTAAAATTGCGCAGGCCCACCGCGGGGCAGCAGACACATCTAAGCACGGCCTGCATAGCCCTGCCAGCGAACTGGCAGACAGGAGCGCGCTTCACCTGTGTGGCGCTGAGGAGTCTCCCCCTTTGGGCTGTCCCGTTTACTTTTTTTTTTTTTTTTTTTTTTTTTTTTTACTTTTACCTGATTGTCAAATTAGCACCAACAGCCATAGCAACAGCTTGAAGACTCAGGGCAGTAAAAACACTAGCTGAGCAGAAGAGGCTGACAGTATTTAGACTGTAAGCCCTAAGTATGAGCAATAAATACCATTCCAGCGGCCTCGGGAGAGGAGGGACGGGCCTGAGCCCTAGCTTTCTCTATGGTGGGCAGGAGCCGCATGCAGTTAGGGAAATTGAGGAAAGGAAAACCGGAAGGGAGAAAACAGACCATTCCTTGTACATCTCTCCCTCCTCCACCGCCCCGCCCCCACTCACTACAACTATGAGAGAAAATCAGGCACTAATCTATATTTCATAATTTATTTCCCCACGATTATTTAACCATCAAGAACTATAAAGTCACTGGGTGGTGGTGGCGAACGCCTTTAATCCCAGCACTGAGGAGGCAGAGGAAGGAGGATCTCTGTGAGTTCGAGGCCAGCCTGGTCTACAGAGCTAGTTCCAGGACAGCCAGGGCTACACAGAGAAATCCTGTATCACTCCCCCCGCAAAATAATTACTTGAATTTATGTTTTAAAGATCTCAAAATTTCCTCTCATAGTCTCATAATTTAAGATTATTTTAATTTATTTTATATTTAAATAGTCAAGCAATTTCTCTTATAGCTCCACCAATATTTTTCATTTGTTTCAAGTACCACCTTTGGTAATTCTGTCTTTCATCTATAACTGTCCTCACGCCTCTACAGATTTCCTTCTGAAAGAGTCCAGATAAGTTCCGGTTGTCTGCTCAGGACTGGGTCCAGACTAAACATTTTTGGAAGGCTGATGTGGAGGAGAGGTGTGTTCCTCACGTGACACCCTGCCCAGTGTGCTCATGCAGACACCTGGCTAACAGCCAGGGCCAGTGAGTGTTCCACTGTCACACTGGCTTCGTGTGTGAGCAGAAGCCCGGACCACGTGACTGTGCTGGATTCTAGCAGCCTTCCCTGGACAACCTACACCTTAGAGATCCTGAAAGTCTTACGTGGGGATCATGGAATCATTTGAAAGTCTTTTTCCTATTTTCTAGGTGGAATTTTTTTAAAAATATTTATTTATTATATATACAATGTTCTGTCTGTGTGTATGCTTGAAGGTCAGAAGAGGGCACCAGACCTCATTACAGATGGTTGTGAGTCACCATGTGGTTGCTGGGAATTGAACTCAGGACTTTTGGAAGAGCAGGCAATCCTCTTAACCTCTGAGCCATCTCTCCAGCCCTCTAGGTAGAATTTTCTTGTTGTTTTGGTTTGGGTTTTCAAGACAGAGTTTCTCTGTGTACAACAGCCCTGGCTGTCCTTGGAACTAGCTATGTAGATCAAACTGGCCCCAAACTCTCAGAGAGTCTCCTCCCTCCTCCGGAGTCCTGGATTAAAGGCGTGCACCACCACCGCCTGGCTAGGGTTATTTTATAAGGAGCCTTCTCTCTCCTCTTTTCATAATCTTTACCTTATTTATTTATTTTCTTATTGCTGTGTAGCTAGCTCATACTACTTTTGGGTCCATAATCCTTCTGCTTCAGTCCCTTAAGCACTGGGATAGCAGGCGGGTACCGCTGTGCCCAGCCATGCTACACTTTGCATGCTTGCTTGCTGTGTAACTCTGACGGGCCTAGAGTTCACTATGGAGACCAGGCTGGCCTCGGACTTGTGGCAAACCCTCCTGCCTGTCTCCCAAATGCTAGGGTCACAGGCGTGCACCACTACACTCAGTCCTGTCGTTGTTCTTTCTGATGTCCAACTGTCCCAAGTTTAGCTAGAGGTACCTTCAAGCCGGCTCTTCTGTCTTTGCTCATGAAAAGGATCCTTTTGTTCCTAATTAGCAAAGACACACATTGAAACATTGAAGTCCTGAATAAATAACAAAAAAAAACAAATAAATGGATACGGATAGGCTCCTATATTTCTCCTGGATGGAAAATGATTTCGAACACTTGGGGTTTTCTTGCCAGACTCGAAAGTCTTTTCTTTGAGTTGCCTTTTCATTTATTAATTGTGTTTGTGCACACGTGTGAGGTCATAGGACAACTTTCACCTGCATTTCCCTCCCTTCACCGTGCGGGTTCCAGGCTCAGATAGGTCCTTACGGCTTGGTGGCAAAGTGCCATGACTGA